AATAGTTACTAAAGGTAAAGAGTGGATGCTGCTATTTTTATAACTAAACATTTCCCAGTCGTACTCTTCCTCCTAAATAGATATAAACATGTCAACAACTTCCAAAATACTGGTCAAATCTATTTAATAAACTAGTTAATTATATATGTGGCCGTTAAAAAAAATTAAAATGATATCCTTATAAAGTATAATGGATGAACATAAAAAGTACTGCATGATTGATTAATTGAAAGTAGCATTGAACTAAATAGAAAATAATAATAAAATATTAATTTTTTTTCTCGATTAATTATTGGTTTATGATAAATTTCATGTTAACTAATAATGCAGTATAAGACTGACATAGAATGTTCAGTGGATTGCTAATAAGTTTTTTTATAATAATTTATATTTATTTATAATTTTAAATTAAACATTGAAGGAGCATATCATCCAATAATATGGCGATTTATTAATGGAATTAAATATCAAAAAATTTATGATTTTACAAAATTATACAAGAACAATTAATTTTCAAAACAAAAAAAATATATATATATAAATAACGCAAAAATAATTCGTAATTTTACTTTGTCTTGCAATATTAATGACAATTTAAATTATTTAAAAAGTATCACTTACAACTTAAGTCTCCAAATGTAAACATTACTATTGTTTATATAAACCATGTAACAAAATAATTTATAACAACATATTATAATTCGCATAACGTATTTCGAGTTAATTTAAATTTCGAATTTATATATTTTGCTATTATTAAGTCCTAGAATTAAATGAATCACCTGTATAATAAATATATAAATTAGAACAAATATTGTTAAAAATTCTTATAAAATAAAATAAAATAGATTTTTATAATCAGAAGATGATAACCTAGCGATTCCCAGCGTAATTTTGAAAGCTGAGGATTTTAAATGCAATTGGCTAATCATAAAAGTACCCGTAGGCGTTACTTGAAAATCTGTAAGTAATTAGATTTTTCCCATAATTAGCTGGTTATTTTGTTTCCAAGGAAGCAACTCTATTTTGGTGATATTGTGTATTCTTAATAAATTACATATATGTACAAGTGATAACATCTTAATATATGTTATATTATAATCGTAATATGTGTCATCATCATAAACAATTGATAGTCTTGACGAAAATGTGTCAAGAGGAAACATTAATAATCATCAAATTACACATCATCAACGAAAGCTTTAACTCAAACCAATTGGGAATAATGTGTTTAAATTTCCCTTAAAAGTAGTGTGATTTATTAAAGTATGAATAGATGTAATAAAGTGAGTCAAATCAGTATTCTACTAAAAATTAAAAGATCGGAAAATTATTAAATAATACTAAATATAATAAACACATTTTTTAATTGCTAAGTAAAAATCTATGATTTTTTTTTTAATAAAAAGCTATTCGAGTATTGCAATTAACAAAAAATAAATTAAGTATCACCACGTAGTCTTATTTTTAATCTTCGAAATATTCTTTAAACTTTACTCAACTATCATATTAAATAAAATATACACTTTAAGGGTTCATTGTTTTTAATCCTAATTTATCTTTACCTAAATATAACACATAAGGGTATTTGTATTTTGACTTAAATTAATCATCATCAAAACAAGAGAAAATCCTTAGAACGATTATAGTATCGTTATTTGTAAATGACAGGAAAATGTTAATCTAACATTTGGACTGCAATAGTATGGGCGAACAACTGATATAAAAAAAAGTACTAATTTATACAGTAGCGCTTTCTGTTTAAACCTAATTAATTAAAATTTTCCCTACAAATTACATCTTCTGTATTCTTTTTGAATATTATTTAGAATTATTAAATGAAACTCATTAGTCAAAACATATTTTTAATTTTATTTTTGCAGTTAATTAAATAACTTTGTATAATACTCGTTATATTTCATGAACCAATGCAATATCAATAGAATAAATAATATATATAAAAACGTGAGCTCTTTGCATCGCATTGGTCGTCAATGATTATTAGCTAGCAAATTAATATGTGTTTAACTAAAGATAGTTAAGTTCATTAAAGATATTAATTTGAAATTAAATTGAACTGTTCATCCGGAAACGACCAAAGTCGATAGTATTAACATAAAATGGATATCAACATCAAAAATCGGAACGAACATTCATTACAATACAAATCACGACCACTTCAAAAGTATAACCAACACAGCGCAAAGACAAAAATTCAACATTTATTTAAAAAACCTTAAAAGTATAGTTTAAAAACTGTGGGGCGTATTTTTAAAATGTGATATTTTAATTTTTTGTAAAATTTAAATCAAAATATTTATAATATGAAACAATTGTTTGCTATATATTGAGCCAACGACATCAACAGCTTTTTTATCATCATAATAACGTTCAATATTTTGATACACTAACTAAAAATCATAAAACATCACTAAGCCATCAGCCAACCCCATCGCCACTTGATGTTGAAAGGACGCCGAACGCTTCCCAATAAATTCTCCTTGGAAGTATGGAATGCCAACTTCCGATGTCGGTTGTCCACTCGCGTAGTAGCGCGTAACGGATGAGAGGAACTGTTGGTTTTTACCTAAACAGGCCGATACGAACCAACCAAAAACACAAAAATAACCGCTAGATCACTGGCCACGAATTAGCAAAACTCAACGGTACAACTTAGCGATCGTACACGAACGTACGTACCACAGCCAATATACCCATATGCCGTACACGACTGACATGACTGTCATATATCAAGTTAGTGAGAGGGGGGGGGGTGATTATAAGCTACGTGGAGCTTGACCGAACTACACGCGTAACTTTTGAACAAAATTAACTAAACGTACTATGATCAAAATTAACTTAACTTTAACAAGTTAAAAAGGGTGTTAACATACTCAGCCTTGAATTGAAAAATATTATTTTTATTTGATACTTGTTTTTAGTTTCAATGCAAAGCTGATAAGGTATGAACTTTGCATTAGTGTTTTTTTTGTCTGTCACTAGTTGTGCTCAGCACCTGCTAGACCAAAATAATCAATCAATACATCAAACGTACCCCAATCATATCTAGAAGAATTTTTTAAATAAGTATTTAAACAATTTTTTTAATAAGTAAAATATCTTGAGAAATTAAAATTTGATTTTTTTTCCTCAATTACAAATTACCATAACATTTTCATAAAAAGTGGACCGTATTCCCTTTACCACAGTAAAACGAAAAATCATTAGTTCTTTAAAAAAAATTTTGTCAAAGATTTTAAATTTTATTACTTGAATTGACTAATAAATAATTATCTAAAAAATGTTTGAAACAATCTATAAATAGTTAGGTTATACAATTTTATATTCAAATCTAATGATTAAAAAAATTAATTTATGAAGCCTAGTGTCATAAGAAAAAAATGTTTATATACTATTACAAAAAATAATTTAATATACTATTACAGTATTTCATTAATTTTTAACCAAGTCAATCACAAAGAATATTTTTTTATATAAAATATTATTTATTTTAATTCAAATTCCGCATGACATTTATAACATAAAATATATAGAGTTATTTAGAAATGTTAAGTAGACACTCTAAGCTAATAATTTATTTATTCGATTTTATGTTTTTTAGAAAATTATTTTGAACATACTACAACACATCAATCAGTATTTGAAAGTTTTTAATAAGTTTTGTTGTAGTTTTAATGATACTTTAAGAATCTAACTTTCAAATAATTTAAAAAATAGCTTGAAGTTAATCATACCTATTCAGGTTAATGTATAACAATGATTTAAGCATAAAATGAAATAAATTTTATACTTAATTAACAACAAAAATTATTGAAATTAAAATCTGCTGTTCTAACGATTTTCTGATATTTTTTTGTTAAGTCATCATTTATGAATTTGCATTTATTTTTTATTATAGAAACTAAACTATTTAATTCACCTAACTTCTTACTGGCCGCATTTGTAAAACTGTGTACATCATATGTTTCCGTGTCGGTGAACATCGGAATTGCAAATTGCGAGCCACTTTTAGTATACTTAATATTACCCCTAAAACATTAACTGTGTTTGTATCATTCTGATGCTCCAAGTTTTTCACCGGAGCTCTAGCAGTTATTTATGTCTTTTTCGTGACCAAATATTCTCGTTAATATTTCAAACCGACTCAGCAGAACTAAGCACGTTTCAAAGGTAATCTAAAAATATATGGATTAATTCTATATTTCTCTTAATATTAAAGACTCAGAACTGCTTTTAAACAAAAAAAAACTGTTTCATTTTCAAAATAGAATGCAGAATTTATAATTGAATTAATAAGTTAGAAAAAACTTGCTCAACAGAAGTGTATTTTTAACATTACATTTTAGATTTTAATCTAAGTTAAGTAAAATTGTATTTTTAGTCAAAATGCTTTAGAGTAATACTTGAACATTTTTTTATTGGTAAAATTATTTCATTTTTAGTCATTTTTTTTTCATTTTTACGATTGAATTGCAAAATATAATTATTCAATTAAACTTAAATCAATTCATTACAACTTACAACAAATATAGAAAGAAATTTTAAAAACAATAGTTTAGATTTATACCATTCAAATCAACTAAAATTGTGGAAATAAATTTTAAACAAAGTTTAAACGAGTTATAGTTAAATCAAATTATGTATAACAAATAGTCTTGAATATAAAGCGCGTAATTTTTTTATTTATTTTAAACATTGCCAGAAGTATTCTAATAGGCGTTAAGTGGTATTTATATTATACATTATTATACACCGGTATGATGTATTTTCATTTCTGTGGTATAAATACTTTTTTTAGTCATTGAGTGGTTTGAACCAAAATAATTTTATTTTGCTGCATATATATATATATTTATCATATATAATTCACTGATATTTTGGCTGTAAGCCTCAGCAAACATTTTAGGTGTTTAACAATTTATTTCAACGTTCATTTCACCTCCCACTTTTTAATTAATCACTATGAGTAAAACACTTACCATGGCATAAATGGCACTGGCATAACATCCAGTTCTTAGTGACTGAAAACAACAGCAGGATTGGAGAATAGCCATTACAATGTATAGCAGGTGATTATGCTTTTTTGACCAATATTTCATTTGATATTTTTAAATTCCTGAAAAAAATTTTGTTGAAATATCAAAAATAAAATTTTTAATAAATACTGTATGTAACATTCTGTATGCAGGTTATTTAATGTTTCAAAATGTCAAATATACTTTATATTTTAATAATATATAAATAATTATTACCTGATATTTTTTTTTCTTTTTTGAGGTGAATTAATTATTAAAAAATAGTATATAATTCTAATATAATTGTACAAATTTCAATGCCATGATTGGATACGCATTTGTAAAAATTCTATAAGACTTTAAAAGAGTATCACTTTGTATATGAGGTCATTCAGCTGCAACAAAGCGCATATCAAAAAAAAAAAATTCTTAATTTTGCTTTTTCTTAATTAATTATAAGCCAATTAAATAGCTGGACGACTCATATCACACCTATATACTTATTCAATCGTTATTTTTATTATTGATTTGTTTATTATTAACGATGTAAGTTTATTAAATAATATAACGATATTTCGAGAAACTAAAGTTAAACTTCATAGGCAACATTTTAAACGTATTTTCAATGGGCTTTTAAACATATTTTCATTGAACATTTATGCTTTAATGAGTATAAAAATAGCACAAAAGCAATTTATTACTTATTTATTTATTTTTTTTTTTGTGAATTTATGACACAACTAATGTAATTTCAAATATTTTTAACAAAATTTATGTTATTAACACGTTTTAATTAGAATTAAAAATAATTAAATCTCAAGTTAAAATATAAGACCTATAGCACTAAAATTTACAAAAAAACATAATTAAAGAGTTACAATTTTGTCATAATATGTACAAATGCTTTGCATAACGCATCTTACATTTATCAATGAAAAAATTGTAATCCGTACTTAATATTACTTGTATACAAACAAATTATTTATTTATCAGACATATATGCTGTTATACACTAATATTTTATATGTATGTACATGTAAATTAATAATTGTATACAATGCATCTTATCTTAAAATAATAATCATGTTATGTTCAAATTTACTATAATAAACTGAAAATCACTAAAAACGCTAATGACAACATCCCAGATGGGAGTAAATAAAAATAATATAAAAAGATGCTGATTTTCATAATGAGAGCACTTTTGAAGTTCTGAATAAAGAATAAAGAATTCAGAATTCTTTTGTCCATATATTATTCACAACTAGCAGCGACCCATGTTGTCGTCATTACATTTTAGTACGACATTGAAATATAATTTTTTTGCGTCGATATTTTATTTATTTATTTAAAAAGTAACATTATAGATCAGCACAGTTTAAAAAATAGTTACGTATTTAATATTTTGACTATCGACGATCTTTACGCAAATTATCTAAAAGAATTAAGTAAATTCACTCAATTATTTATAATTAATAATCTGAGTTAAGAACAGTAGCAGTAGATCAATTTAAAACAAAAATCATTTTAATTTAATTATTAATAACTAGTTGGTACTTGGTCATATACTTTATTTATCATTACAATCTACTATAATAAATCATAGCCTCCAGCGAATAAATCGGACTTTCTCTTAGAATCCCACACTGGACACTAATTTAGGAGTGTATTAGGAATCCCAATAGATTTCTTGGTAGGACACTTTAATAACAATCTGATCGAACTTCTCATAGAGACCCTAGTAGGATTCTTATTTAGGAATATTTACGGAATCTTTGTAGAATCTCTCGGGGGATTCCCTATAGGAAATGTATTCGGTAATACCCCTCAACATCTATGAAGAACTTTACAAATTTAAAACCACTTACAATAATTATTTTATTTAGTTTAAGATTTCTATTATTTTGAAATTAATAAATACGCAATATTTGACAACACCAAAGACAGATATAGACAGGAATGTATTTATAAAGAGTATGTGTTCCCTATATTTTAATAAAGATTGTACTTTTTAATGAGTAATGAGCAAAAAATTTAATAAATCATAATAAATAATAATATAATTTTCTTAAAAAAAAAAATTGAATAAGATTCCTCAATACACACCTAAATCTATGCCGTATAGATGAACATTTTTATTTAAATATAAAACGTTTAACCAAAAATTCAAAGGTATAAATTGAAAAATAAACGCTCTTTTTGATAATTTTATTAAAAAAATGTATAGATTGCACTTTTTATCTTTCAAATTATAAATCATATTAACATTTGCTTTTCACTTAAATGGAAGATTGTTTACAATTGAAATGTTATTATATACATATATACCTAAACATTTGGTAAAAAAATGAATAAGATTTAAGTGGTTTATACGAGGTGATCAAATCTAGACATAATCTATGATGTTAAAGTTTTATTTTAGATTATCTAATAATATTTATTTATTTAGACCTATTTCTTTAATTTTTAGTTAATTTTAAGATTGATATTCATAAAGAGAACAATGAATCTCAATATTTACCACATTTTTACCTAAAACGAATCATTGAAAGGCATCAAATAAAAAGATGATTATGCGCTTGTTCAATTTGAATATGCCCAAAAGAAACCACTACAGTTTCTCATAACGAAAACATGATTTATAGAACTACTCCCTTGTGGGACCTTTTCAATCTACACATAATTTGAAAAACAACGCTTTCAGATAAAGAAATAAACGGAATATCATATAAACCTTTTTGCCTTGCAAATTTTATATTACTGTATTTTTGCCTCGATGTGTCAAGTGAAAAATCCAAGTATAAATATTTTGTAACGTTTGAGGTTCCATAACTTATAAAAATTGTCTTTTATTAATTTATTTCAACTACTCAATTTTAATTTATTTACTTTTTAATGCAGTACATTATATAAACAATAATTTTATAATAAATACAACGTGTTTAAAGATTTTATTTGAAATGAATCAATAATAGTTTACTTTGTATGTTGTCTGCAATTAATAATATATTTATGATTAATCCTTAAAGATATTTACTAGTAATACAATTTTTGCTCCGATGCAAAGTTGAGATGGTATAAGTTTTACCAAATGTTTTTTTATATCTCAGCGCTCACGTATCGTTGTTCACCAATTCTGTGAGTTATGCAATAGGTCCAATAGGTCAAAATTTTATTTACATGAAATGAGCAAGTAAATAATGTGAAAACTCTTTCAAAAATCCTAAGATTGCTATGAATCAAATAGTACTTCAAACATTACTCGAATACTTTTTGTCTAATACAACTGGTTTTGATAAATTACGAATCCAATAGGAAGAGATAAAAATGATATTTTATTAAAACTTTTTTTAGCCTTTGACAATTTGTCATTCAATATAAATGCCCGACAAAATTTATCGAATTTCACAGTATGTTTTATTTGCAAACTTTACTTACTCGGTTACAAAACAAAGGTTCGGCGGTTTAATTGGCACAGCGACAGCATATTTGCTCACATGTTATTCGAAGCAGTTGAACGGAACATCACCGCATCTTTCGAGGTACAGTACACACGTGACTGTTTCGCTAGTGTCCGCGACCTCTCCACCAAAAGCCGGAAAAACATTTTCTCGCGCATGGCACGGTAACCTTCCGGTCGTGGTTACGAACGCAGCGCCACTAATTCCTTGAAAGCTTAGTAATATTATTTCCAACATATATATATATATATACACATATATACATGTTCAACTGTTTGTTAGGTATATCATATGAGGGAGAAAATGTCCGTTCCATTATACTTGACCATAATACTTTAATCCAATACTGAAGTAAATTTATTGACACAAAGCCGATTATGCAAAATATAATAGTAATATTCTATAGAAAAACCAATGAACTATTACGTGGCAAGTTTAGACACTGTGCCAAAAAACGTAACTGAGAACAGTATTTTATCATAACTTTACAGCTGCAAGCCATTTTAATAATTATATGATTATCAATCAAAAAGTGACATGGTCATAAAAATAAAATAAATTTAAAATTATACTTATTTATATAATTTAAAACTCATTAACTCTTTTAAAATAAACAAGATATATTGACAAATACAATGTCTTACTAAAACAAGTATATAACAAGAATTTCAATGTATGATAAATAATAATCAAAAAAAAGCTTCTAAAATATTTCTATTTTTAAATACCAGTAATACATCAAATGTATTGGAATAAAAAAAAAATTAGGAAATTAGAGCACATTAAATAATTTTCCTAGAAAAGCATTTTTTTTCATTTTTATTATATAGTAAGACGTGTTCATCTAATTGGGATGTAGAAAAATCATTACTTTCATTAAAACTTAATGAATTTTAAACGCTCTTAGCAGCTAAGGATTTAATCCGATCTCGGATTTTCGGATGTTTGACGCTTAAGTTACGAATCGAAAAAAAAAATCATTCTCATCTCATAAAGTGTCGCAATAAATTGGGGCGGCGCGTCTAAAGCGCCTAATAAAAAAAGATCACAAATAAATAAATAACAGATTGAAATCTTATTTTAAGATATCTTAAAAATGTCTTTGTGCAGGTCTAGTGAAAATTTCAAACCTTAAGTCGTAAGACGCTGGCGTCAGAGAGCGTTTTTCTCGAAAATGCTTGAAATTTTAAAACGCTTGCGAGAGTGCGGCAAAAGTTTTCCGACCTTCGTCAATAATTTATCTGGATTTCGTAACCGAGTACTTTTGTTAAAAAAAGGAATTTTGAAAATTGGAGCACGTTAAATAATTTTCTCAGAAAAACATATTTTTCCTTGGTCTACTATACTTATTCTGTATAATAAGATTTGACATATATCCGATATTTTTAAAAAGTAGTATCGCTATTCACAGCATAATTAATCATATTGATTAATTTTCCGAGCATTAACAACTTGAAAATTTTTCAATCGAAAATAATCAAAGTTAATAAATTAAATTCCAAAACAAAAATATATTGTAAAATAACTCAAATGGAAAAACTAATATATTTATCGTTAAAACAACACAAGTTATAATTTAAATTGTTTACGAAGGGATCAGGGGAGTAATATAATGGAGTGAATTTGACATTTTATAATTACATCGTCATTTTATGTATTATACTTAACTGACAACTTGTGGCTTATGTGTCATTGATGTAAGACATTCACTCTGTATAGTTTTAATAAAATATTCGAACGTTATCATTATAGCTAATTTTAAAACTCAACTAGGAATTAGAAAATATGAAAAAGAAACTACTAATCCAAATTAGGCAAAATAACAAAAATAGGATTCTTAATAATAAAATATGATTTTTTTAAATACATTGTAATAAAAAGTTGGAGTTACCATTTTAAAATTGAAATTTCATACAAATTTAAGGTTGATAGTAAAAAACGATTTTTTGCACAAAACAGATAAACAAAGAACCATTATTGTTAAAAAAATTAAATATCTCTAAGGATATTTCATGAGGCAAAATTAAGGAATCACCCTGTACCCAGAGAAAACCTCGATCTATATAATAAATTCATTGTTCAATTTGATAAATATATCATTACTATTGAACCTATGATATATTTATTAATATGATAATTTTTTTCTTGTCTTGAACAATAATTATTCATAAGAATAGTTATTTTGTTCGTATTAATAAAACATTATCATAAACCCTTGATAAAATTTCTCTATCAAAATTCTTCAAGAGAAATTTTGGTCAACATTTCGTTTTCAATAATTTTTGCACTTCATCTTGCAAAACTAAAAACAAAATATTTTTTTCAATAATATATTTTATTTTTTTAATTATTGCTTAATGTATACTTAATAATTACCTACAAGTACTTTACAACTGTCAACCTGGTCATTTGTTTCAAGTTCATCTTTGTGTTCTTTGTTAGTAATGTTCTGCAATACTGTTTATAATTGTTCTTCTAATTCAATGTTGTTTATTTATTTTTTTTATGGTAAAAAATATGTAGTAAGTCCTACTTTAAGTGTACATTGATATAAAAATTCATATGGTGTTTCTTTTATTCCTTAAAGGAGCTTCTCTTACAATGCTAAACATTTTCTCACTTTTTACATAATAAAAAATATTTGACTTACTATCATTTGGAGGAACTATTAATTTATCTGAATCCATCACCATAATAACGTCATAACGTTTCAATTTTTTATCATCATGATTTTTTTTATTTCATAAATTAATTACTTCTTTGACTATTTGTTCATATTTTTCATAAAACAATTATCTCTTTTTTTACTTAAAACTTCATTAAATTTTTGGTAAAACAACTTTTGGATATCCATTTTACATGCATTATCACTTAATATGATATATGTATGTATGCGCAATTGATTAGTGTATGAACGATATTAGTGAATTATTAAACATATAATGGTGAATGAAACCATCCAATGAATTGTGGTCTTTCACTGTAACATTTATAGGTGTTCAAAAAGTAAGGAAATAAGTCGATTGTTATTAATAATGAAAACAATAGTAACCTTTTCCTTACTGAACACCTATATATGATATAATTTGTATTATCTGTTGAACTATTTTTCTACTATTGCTTTTTTAAGTTCATAAATTTTTTACAATTTTTCTATAGATAATTTGCTGTCTAGCACATAATGTTACATAAACAAGTTTTTATTAACATTTCATGTTATCATATCAATCACAGTGACAAAACTAATTACGATGATACTTTTTAAGGCATTGAAACAAATTATTGATGCCTTCAATTATGAAAAATTAATGATTAATTTTTATTATAAATCGAAGTATTTAAACAATTTAAAAAAAAAAAAATTACTCGGATGAAAAAATTATTAAGATAGTGAAGAAGAACAAATCTCCTGGTTATGATGGTGTTCTCCTGGAATTCCTTATTTACAGTGGTATTAAAACTAGGCGATTTTTACATGACATAATCAATTTTATCCTAAGCTCCGAATTGGTCTCTAAAGAGTTCCTTAGGTGTAAAGTTATTGCAATAAAAAACCTAGCAAAGAAGGTACGGAAGCCAACCACTTTCGAACAATATCCCTAATGAATCAAGTGTTCAAATAACTTTATCGAATTATTCTAAATAGGATATCTCCCAGGATAGAAGAAGTTCTTCTTGCTTCACAAGCAGGCTTTTGTGCTGGACGTTAATGCTGTGAACAAGTATTGGCCCTTACTATGTTTGTTGAAAGCGGTTTTCTGAAAAAAACTAAAAACTGCTGCAGTATTTATTGATCTTACAGCTGCATATGTACGGTTTGGAGTGAAGGATTATTGCTCAAATTTGCAAAAACAGTTCCATGTAATAAACTTCTCCGACTTTTAAACAACTACATGTCAAATAGAATGTTTAAAGTGCACATAGGAGACCAACAAAGTCGATGAAGAAAAGTTAGTAATGGGCTTCCCCAAGAGTCGGTTCTTGCACCAATTCTTTTTAATCTCTACATCCATGACATGCCAGATACCGTAGCCAGAAAATTTAAATATGCTGATGACACAGCTCTGGCTTTCCAACAGCAGACCATCAATTTATGCGAAGATGTTTTAGAAAAAGACTTGAACATACTTAATGACTATTTTTACAAGTGGAGATTGTAATATTCTCCGTTGTAATATTAATAAAATCAATACCTCTTGTATGTCTAAGACCACAGAAAAGAATACGCTAATACGATTACGCATATATTTTGACCTTGGTCACTATAAAGTAGCCATGAGTCCTTGTCTGTCTCAGCGTCTTCGAGTCACCACAAAAAGCATTAAATAAGGGAAGGTAATAAAAAGTAACTGTCTTATTTTGATTGTAGTACGGATTGGTGACTCAATATGTCTACGAAAAGGCATGACACAATCAAGACGTTTCATCCCTGTTTATGCCTTTCGTGGTACATTATATAAAGACTGGAGACGCTGATTTTACAGTCAGTCAGTCAGTCAATCTTTCATCTTTCTTATTCACATTTCTCACTTAATCATGTCAAGTTAATCAATATAATATTTTTTCAAACTAATTCAAGTGTATTCTTAATACTGTTTGTCTTTAGACTTAACTTTTAACACTAAATTTAAAATATACATTTGTTAAAATTATTAACATTTTCTATAATAATAAATACGCTTTTATCAACCAAATACGATTCTCTTTTATTAACATACCTAATATAATAATTAACAACATTCTTAATAAACATAAATCTACGATCAAGATTCTATCACCATTAGTGAATATCAGGTAAAAGTAGTTTTAATACACTAACTACATTTATTAAGTAATAACTATTAGACTTTAATATTCCCCTCAACACATAGCATACACTATCCCCTTCCAGCATCACCCTTCTTTCTTATAGTTATTACAAGATTACAACCGAACCCTTCCAAAACAAAAGCCATAATTTTCAATCTTAATAATAAACAAGCAGTTGCTGAACTGAAAATTAAATTTGATGGACATTATATATCTCATAACAAAAATCCTAAATACTTAGGTATTACCTAAGACCGTACTCGCATATTTAAACAACATTTAGAAGCATTAGGAAAGAAAATAAATACAAGGAATAATATTATATATCAAAACTTGCAGGGTATGGCTGAGGGGCTGACTCTAACTCTCTTAGGATTAGTGTTTGCTGAAGCGGAATACTGCGAGCCAGTTTGGATCACCAGTAAGCATATATCGAAAATTGATGTCCAACTAAATAGGACAATTAGAACCATATCAGGAACGTTGAAAACAACTCCCCTCCTGTGGCTTCCTGTGATGGCTAAATTAACGCCTCCATCCCTTAGACGAGAAGAAGCATTAAGAAGAGAGTGGCAAAAATACTTAGAGTCTCCTGGTCTACCGATTTATGAGAACATTATAAATTTACATAATATATGAGACTGAAATCACGTAGTTCCAGTCGAAAGATTATGGACGATCCCAGTTGTTGTGTAGTGGATTGATGGAAGGAAGCATGGGCTAAGAATGGAGTACTTTAAACCGCTTTAGGTGTAGTCACTTCATGTCGAGATGGAATTTAGCTGAGAATGCTCGGTGTGAATGTGGACACCCAAACCAAAGAATGAGTCACATAACTGATGAATGTCCCATTTATTCATTTAATAATGGTCTTAACGGTCTTCACAAATTAGAAGAAGGGACTGTGGACTGGTTAAGTAGCCTATCAATTGGAATTTATTGGTATCAAATCAGAACAATCGTTACCAACATATATTCTAATAATTATTTACTGTTTACCTCATTATATAACTTTTGTATAGTATATTTTATTTTAGTACTGTTTCAACATTTTTGAAATTCTATTTAATTTTTGCAAGTGTCTAGATATTTTTGTAAACTTGATGATTTTAATGCCGTACAAATATAATATATATGGGTTCATGTTAAAAAAAATTAGTTAATCCTTTTTATCCTTAATGGGATGACAAAAAAGTAATTTAACTAAATATTATTATAGTTTCTTGAAACAAATATTATTATCCATAACAAAATTCAATAGTTTCTAAGAAAATAAGTGTCTCTTACTTTTAATCAATCACTCTATACATAGTTTGAGATTTAACAGACAATGCTTATAATTTTTTATCCACTTTTTATCATATCACTGTTATTTTTTTAACAATTATTGCATTCTTAGACTACATTAATAAAATCATTTTTTTTATTTGTATTTAATTATAAAAATAATTCTCTTTTCAAGACTTCGAAATAGCCATGTTTAGCTTTTTATTTATACAAAATTTTAATAAGAATTTTATTATTTAAAGTGGGTATGTTTAGCAAATATAGAAGTGGAGTATATCAAGCAAGTGCAAGCTACACTGAAAAAATTGCAATATTATTAACAATGTTTCATTTGAAGGAGAAAAAACTTGCACCATTTAATATGGCAATTCAATCATCATTTTAGCTATCTTTTCAACCAATGAAATCTCGAGTTTTATACTTCAACACATTTTCAAAATAATTTTATAATAATATAAAAATTAAATTTATTATATAACTGCATAAAATTCAAACATCAAATATAATGTCTATATAACAAATAATAAAAATAGCACATTTTTGTCTTTTAATGTGAGATTACTGCAATAATACAAGCAATGTTAATTAAGTTAAAAATTAATTATTTATAAGTGATTAGTAAACATAATAATACTTCAGTTGGAATACACGAAGTCAACATTAATTAAAAATGATAATAAATAAATTCAGTTAAAAATACAATGAACACATTAGTTCAAACTTAAATATTTATAAAATGAAAAAATTAATCTAAAAATAATTATTAATAAAATGAAAATAAATAAGTTAGTGACATTTTTTTACTATTTAAGTTAATTTTTATAACTAAATATAAAATAACTTGATAAATTTAAACCTTTTAGTTAAATAAAAATTAAACATAGGTTATATTATCTTTTCATTTTATCTAAAATTGGTAACACCATATCGAAAGTTGGTCTTTTTCCTGGATCCTCATTCATGCATATTTTTATCAATTTTGTCAAATGTGGTGAAATGTCTGATGGAATGGACACTCTTAAACCTTCTAATGCCACCTAAACATATTTAAAAAAATTTAATATAGCTATTTTTATTTCTGTATAAAGTTAAGTATTACTCATCATTAAATAAATAATTAGTAGATTTACAAAAACTAGAAATATATATTATCTTAAGTTTAACATGAAAGCTTTAACACATTCATCTTAAGTTTAAATTTAATAATAGTCTTACTTTCATTCCAATTTCCATAGGAGATAGGTGGGAAAATGGAACTTCTCTTGTAGCTAATTCCCATAAAAGAATTGCAAAACTCCACATATCACAAGCTTCAAAATTAGTGTCACTGCGTTTTTTCTGCAATGCTGAAATCACATAAAATAAATAGATAAATTTTAACAATTCAGTAAAACTTTTTATAAAATTTTTAAAAATTAAGTCTAGTATTGTTTAATAACAAATATTAGTTATATCCAAGACTCAGGACTTAAGCAATTATAAAGTTTCATAAAGTTATTAATTACTTTTTAGAATCAGCCCTTATAAATTATTGAGGTTTCAATAGCTTATACAATAAGAAAATTGATTTAAGTTTAAATTTAAATTAAATTAAGAAAATGAGGAGTCTATAATAGGAGTCAACTAATACTTGTTATGACAATTTTAAAATACAGACTAATAAAATTATTAAGCAAATTGTTTTATTTGTATATTGTTTTTGAATTTAAAAAAAATTAATTTGAATAGATAAAAATTATACATTTTTACCTTCTGGAGACATCCATCCTGGATAATAGATTCTTGCTTTTTCTTGGAAAGAAAACTTTGCATCAGCCATATTAATTCTAGCAGTCAGATCTTCATCAATCTAGAAATTTTGTAAGTTAATATCTATTTATAATAAAAGATAATTTAAAAAAATTAATTAATTAAAACATACCATTACATGATGACTATTCAAAAAGAACTGTGGTATTATTCTTTCAAGGCTATGCAAAAATGCCATTGCTCTAGCTACATCTACTGCAAGCCTAAGGGCTAATGCAGTATCTACAGTAACTCTTGCTCCTTCATGCAATAATGAATAAAGAGAACCCCAAGGCATATATTGACTAATGACTACTAAATTTGGAGGAGAATTACAACAACCAATAACAGGCAAAACATTTGGATGTGAAAAAATTCTAGAAAATTAGTAAAATATTTAAAGTAATGTTTATAATAAAATTAATTAATTTATAAATATATAAATATTTTTAATGCTTTTTAAGCCCATTAAGTGCTTCTTACAAGTGGGAGGTTTCTTAACCATTGATACTCCGAAATGGGTGGTAAGTCCGTTACCGGAGAGAGGAATGGCAACCCCAATTACTGAACTTATCTCTCGTTAGGTAAATAAAGCCACCCATGATCGAGTTTTGAACCCGAAGCAGTGTATGTCAAGCACTGCCATGTTAATGACTCAGCTACACTGTCCTCTTATTTATAAGTATTAATAACAGAAATAATATTTATATTTTTTATCCAAAGGAAATATTCATTACCTTAACTTTGGAAATTCTTCATTAAAATCTCTTGATATACGGGGAGTACATTGTCGTACAGCTAACACTTTAGCAACAATATCATTTTTCTGCCAATGACCACGCCAGGTTTCTCCGCTAGATGAAGTAGCCATTTTTGTATGTAAATAAAGATCACTCAAATTAATTCCTCTATGTCGTGACAATGTAGCATCCCCTAAAATTATTAAACTTTACCATAAGATAACCAATAATTTAAGTAATTTATAGAATTTATTATAAGAGTTATATTTTTTATGAAAAAAAAAAAACTTAAATAATATAAGAAAAAAACAATTTTTATTATAAAATAAAAAAGATACTAACGGCTTCTTGTTTTTAAACCTAGCCAACTTTGATCCTTAAAATTGATTTTAGTTAAATCTTGTCCAGATTGTAATGCTAAATCTAAAAGAACATTATAATTTATTAAAAAAATTTATTTGAAGAAAACAAAAAAGTATATATATTTTTTAAAGTTACCTTTTAAATGTTTTACAATAAGTCCTTTAGCTTTGTCAAGAGGTGTATCACCATCCTTATTAGCCAAAGCTGCTAATGCACCATTTTCAATTAGTTCTTCTGCAATAGGTTCAAACCCCCAAAAGCAAGCATAATGTAAAGGAGTATTTCCATGTTCATTAGTAAAATTGATGTCTGCACGGTTTTTTAACAACTAACAAAATTTACATTAACATATAATACATTATTTAAACAAATTCTAAACTAACCATATGCACAATTTCATGATGACCATGAGCTGCAGCTAAATGCAAAGGTGTATCATCACCCCGATTTGTAGAATTAATTCTTGCACCTCTTTGAATAAGCATTTCAACAATCTTTAAATGACCCTCTTTAGAAGCCCAATGAAGAGGACTAAATCCATGATCATCCCTATTTAGATACGAAAAATAATTTAAGAAAACTACCAATAATTAATTAAATCTTTTAATTTTTCCTTAAAAAGTAAATATTCACCCTTGGTTCATATCATGTTCTGTGTCATCAAGCCAAACTCGAACTTGCATCGTATTGCCTTCGCGGCACCATTGAAATATATCTTCCATAATAAAAATTAATATAAATAAGAATTAATAAAAGAAAAATTGCCCTAGATCAAACGGATACAGCATATCCCACACATCTAAATACTGTACTCAAAACACTCCAAATTTGGTCATACTTAAATAAACAAATTTATCAATAATCTTTCAAATCAGCTGTTTAAATACTATGATAGTCGTTATTATTTTGATAAAATTGAATAATAGTGAAATAAGGTAGTTCCACTTAGGAACTCGACAATTAATTATTAATTTAATATATAAAAAAAAATTGTTGATTTGTGAATATTTAAATACACAAAACTCCCAAATAATTATATACATTTTTTTAAATAGCCTATTATTATTATTGTACTACATAAAATTCCAATATTTGAATAAGTTTAATGAACGAAGGATGTGAGATAATATTATTTTATGTTATCAAGTGACTTTTTGTCGGATTGCTATTTGTCGAGTGGCTTTTCGAGAATTACTCAACCGCCTTGGTTGGTCAAAACTCAATTTTTGTATGCTTCATTTTAAAACTTAGATATATTAAGATAGAAGTATGGTGGTATTATTGAAATAATGTAATATTTATTGTTTTAATATTATTATAGTTTTTTATTTTATTTTATGATAACAAATGACAACTTATTATTAAATAATATATTATTCACATTTCGTATACCACAGATTAGAATAAAAATAATATCTTATCTATTCTGTGCCTATAATCCGGCACAACAAAATAGTGTATTCTATTTTCATTCAACTTTCTTTGCTAATATTTTCAGGCAAGTTTTATCGTTATTTTATATATAAATAAATTTTTAATGTTATTCTTTAGATCGTTAAATATTAATTGAATTATTTTAAAAATATCATTTGTTAATTTTTATAACTTTTAGATAGTTAATAAAAATTTATTTATTGAAATAATTTAGAAATGAAAATTGAATTTTATATACACTTGTATAATATAATAACATATCTTATATAATTTAAAACTTATAAACTCTCTAAAGCTTTATTAATAATATTCAATATGTGAATATATGAATATACTTATGTATAAGTGTCTCAGATCTATCTAGCAATTCTTATAACTTTTGATACAATTATCGTTTTATTGAAATTATTTTAAAAAATAATGATTGCTTTCTCAATTTAAGAAAGCAAATTTTAAGAGCGTACTTTTATTTTTTTATAATTTCATAATGGTCTTTAATTAGCCCTTTTCTTACAAATAATTTTAATATATTGATAACAATTTTAGGATAAGTATTTATTAATTACCAAGTATTTTAATACATAGAGAGTGTATGAAATGAGAGTAGAATATACATACAACAGTATGAATTGCACTCATTCTCACTACATACTCATTTTATGTATTAATATAAAATACTTGTAACTCAATGAATATTTGTCCTAAAATTGTTATCGACCTATTCAAATTTTTTCGTAAGAAAAGGTTAAAATATAATAAATGTTAAAAAAAATGTTTTGAATTAAATTTTAATTACGTAAATGTTTTCAGGACATAACACAAATAATTCAGCCTTGTAAATACTGTTTTCTGTTACAATTGAATTGTTACCATGAAAAACACTAACAATAATTTCAATGACATTAAAATGTCAAAACCAGCAATATCTGTTGCTTTGACAATGATATCTATACCTTTATCAATGGTCTTATGGATAAGCAACTTGTTTTTTAAAAAAATATATGGTGATCATTTAAGTGAGACAGATGGTAGGTGTTATTGTGAAAAATTAGATAGGTATGTTGTTAAAAGTTTTTCTTTTTGACTATTTACGCATTCCACTAATAATGATAGTGGTACTTACATTATACTACAAATTAACTTATTTTATTGATCATTACTGATCAGTTTAAGTAGGAATACTAAAAAGAATATAGGTAAAGAAGTTTCCTACAAATAATTATGTGTATCACAAAATTTCAACCTACCTATTTAAATTTTATCAACATTTTAATAAACATCAATTTAAAAACATATAATTATAATTAAAAATAATGGTTTACTACAAGTGTGTATCCAGATAGGAGCTATAAGAACAGACATTCTTTCCATAAATTAGTTTTTCACCCTGTAATGTTTCTTGCCTCAGTAAAAATGCTTAAGTTCGATTTTCATTGTGCTTAACTATGTAGTCTTTTTCATTCTCTCTGGCACAAGCATTAGCTTTTAAAGAAGATATTAGATTAAATAAATAATTATAAAAAAAATAATAATAATAATAAAATGTATTCTATATTACCTGCCTTCTATAATTATATGCTATATTCACTTCTGTATACCATCATTTTTAAAAATTTTTTATTAATATAAATTTATAGTTTTTAATATTTTATTTTTATTTTGATATTTCAGAAAGTTTACCACCATTTAGATGGTTTATGTCCACATTTATTCCATTATTCATTGCTGTTTTTGGTTATTTAAAAAAAAGTTTGAACCTAAGTGGTGCTTTATTAGGTAAGTTCAAAAAATTAAAACTTAATATTTATTAAAGCTTTCAACTAAATATTTACTCTTTAATGTAGGTATTTTTGTTGGTTTTGTGTTAACATTGAGTAGCTATACATTTTTAGCATGTTTATTAACGTTTTTTGTCACATCATCAAGAGCAACTAAATTTCGTAGTAAAGCTAAAAAGAAACTAGAAGATGATTTTAAAGAAGGTAAAAAAATGTTTAATTTTATTCATATTCTTAATTTTATATATCTTTATTAGGTGGTCAAAGAAATTGGATTCAAGTTTTATGCAATGGTGGCATGGCTACTCAATTAGCACTATTATACATTCTAGACGTAGGATGTGGAGAATTACCAATTGATTTCAATCTTAAATATAGACCATCATGGTTGGCAATTGGTATATTAGGTAATATAAAATGTGGAACTTGCCACAATGTTTAATGTTATAAAGTAATAAGTTAAAAAAATTTGTTATAATTTAGTTGTACCTCTTATATTTATTTAGGGGCATTTTCCAGTTGTAATGGTGATACATGGGCATCAGAATTAGCAACAGTATTAGATAGTGGTCTTCCAATTTTAATTACAACTGGAAAAACGGTACCAAAAGGTATAATTGATTACTTAAACAATAAATTATTATAAATAACCAAAGTAACACTCAAAGATTCCATAAAAATATAAATTTCAAGTGTTTAAATTAATCTAAATTATTCAATACTCTTTTAAGAAATATTTTATAGCATAATATTAGCTCAGATAGTTAATAAAAATCCATTCTAGGTACTAATGGTGCTGTTACACCTATTGGATTACTTCTTAGTTTATTAGGAGGCCTTGTAATAGGTGTTGCAAATTATTTGATGCTCATTTACACTGTTGACTCAGATTTACTTGCACAGAGTCCTCCACAATGGCCAATCATAATAATTGGTGCATTTGCTGGACTTATAGGAAGTGTTGTTGATTCTGTACTTGGTGCTACAATGCAGTATAGTGGTAATTATAAATTGCATTTTGCATGAAAAAAGGGATAAGTCAATTTATCCCCAACATGAGTTATGTTCTAATTATAATAAACATTTCAATTGTCTGATTTTGGGTTCAAAAGAGATATTTCTAACATGATTTTATAGCCTAATACTACATAGTATGTAATGGTAAAAGTCGCGATAAATATTTATTATATTATTTAGTTATTATATTTTAACTTAACCCCTTTTTTACATGCAACTTTCAAAAAATAATTTTATTTTAATTATATTTTAAGCTGTAATCAATTATTTGTTCCTCTTATTTAAGGTTTTAATCGTGATACTGGAACAATTGTAGAACATCCTGGAAAAAATATTGTTCATATTTCAGGAAGAAGAATATTAGATAATCATAGTGTCAACTTAATTTCAAGTGTAATAATGGGTATATTGACTCCAAAAATTGCATACTTAGTTTGGCCTTAGACAAATATTTGTCCTAAAATATTTTATTTAATGACTTGAAAATTATATTTTTTATGGCAAGTCTATTTCTAAGAAACCATGCCCAACTTAATTATTTTTTTTTTTTAGTAAAATTTAGACTGACATTTTTTTATTGTACATATTGAAAAGCATGTTAAATTATATAATGTTTACAATAAGTTCTATATAGTTTTTTAAATTGTTAATTTATATTTTTTTACTTAATATTTTGTTAATTTATGTTTTAATTAATTTTTGTTTCTTTATTTCTACTCAAAACATGGTAAAACCACATATCAAATTTACAAAATAAATTGTTGCAATTGAATGCCTATTAATTGATTTTTTATGTTATTTTACCTATAAAGTTTTAAAGTGTCAAAAAAGTAGTTCCTTATTAACAATTGTATTATACAGGTTTGAAAATTCTAACTAGGTGATCAATATCGAACAATAAAATTTATTTTAAGGAATGTTATTTAATGAGCTTTAATATAAAAGATATGAATCATTCAGATTATAAAAAAAACTGAAATGGGCATAAATATTTTCTAACTTAGTTTAATTTTAATAATTTTAAAAAATTGCCTATTGACTTCTATTTATGAACAATTATTTGGAAAATTCTATCTATACCAAAACCTAGACATGTGTTTGATTAAAATTTGTAAAAGATGTTAACCTTATTTGAGTCATCTAATTGTTAATGAAGTTTTTTAACATTTTTTTTATATTTATTAATTATTATTATGGCTCAATAATTCTTTTATTACTTATTATTTTTAAAGAGTTTGTATTTTTAGCAGTTTGTAGAAATAGTGCAAAAAGTTTATGATAAATGAAATTTAATGCAGAGATAGTGAGTAACCATTGATGTCATCACAATGTCGTCAATTTGCTCTAAAAACACCTTTTAAAATAAATTTGTATAATTTCATTTGAAAAATATTATTGTTGTCAATTTCAATTATTTGAAAAAATTTTAAGAAAAAATACATCATCTATCAGATAAAACAATATTTTGTCTACAGGGTTTTTTTATGTGTCTCCTTTGTTTAGCCTAGTATAGGAGTGAAATGTATTAAATAATAATTAAAATTTTTAGTAAGTAAATATACACCAGCTAAGTACTTTTTAAATTAAAAGGAGATTTAAATAAATATGAATATACATCAACAAATTTTAAAAATATATTGTCAGATTGGCATCACTTAACTTATTAACATGTATAATACAGTGAACACAAAATATTTACAAGGGAGAAATATTATTATTTAACTTATATAATTATGGAATAAAATGTATTTAAAAATTAGTATTTAACTACAAATATAATTTAAAATAAACTTTATACTGAAAAAATACTCAATGATTTTTCAGATAATGCTGCTAAAATTCGTCTTTCATTAATGACTACTCCACTTAAGTGGCATAAGTCTAAAAATGTGTCTCGAACTTGAAAATTATGAATGTTTTTTCCTGAATTGACACTATATAATTTTATATGATTTGATTTTTCGTCATAAGCACACACTAGTGTATCTTCATCTGATCGGCTTTGAGGTATTATACATGATCGGGATATTTGAGTAGCTTTGTCACCACCTAAAATTAAAAAATTCATTAATTTACACACAAAAAATATTTTTCTTACTTTATTAAAACAAAATTATTATGGTTTAAAATAAAATACATAATAATAAATCTAATATCTACTCAACTAGAAATATGTATATCAAATATAACAATTTACACCTACATTTTTTCTAATTAAATATTGAAAACAAATTAAATATTTACAAGTTGTAAGAGGTGAAGCTATCCATAATCCCTAATTATTAATTTAACAAAAATAAGTAAATAAAAAATGTCTTCAGTGGAACTTAGACCTTCTAAAAAGTTCAACCTTATACCTTACCCTTTATATTTTTTTAATAAAACAAAGAAAACAAAACAATTTTTACATTATATTTAAGTTAAGTAGTATACTACTTTGATCTTCATGGCATATTTTAAATAAATAATAAATTTAAATAAACAAAATGGTAATATGATGTCAAACTTTAACATTTAAATAACAACTTCTTGATTAATTTTGACATAAATTAAACATCCTATATAGAATAAATAATTTTTTTATAGAAACTTTATAAAAGAAAAAATGTTTGTTGTGTTACAAATTCTTAAATGGCTTGAGATGTTGGCAAATTAAATTAACACTAGCGAAAATAAATGACATTTTGTACCATCCTTAAAACTATACAGAGACATATTTAAGTAGTTGAAAACAGAAATTATTTTCAATTCAGTGAGCAATAAATTACTTTTTTAAATCATTTTAGTTTAATTCTGTGCAGAGAAATAAAAATTAGGAAACACCCTAATTGTTTTAATTTTTTAGAATTTCTATGTCATAATTTATTTGATTACTAGAAGAAACAATAAAATATTAAGTAATTGTATTTATAATTATTTATAAAATACAAATACAAAAATTGAAACTTAATAAATTATCAGTGCTGGGTAGTAATTTAACTAAATTATATATTAACAGCAATGAAACTAGTTATAATGTAATTTTAGTGTAATTTAATTATTTGAATAAAACATTATTTTATTTAAATTTCAAGGTAATTTTTCAAAATTACTTTAATACATTATTTTGAGTAATATATTTCAATAGTTTGCACTGTCATTTAGTGGTGAATCAAGAATTTTATAGTATACCAGAAGTTTAACATAAAAAGAATATTCTTGACTCCTCCTCATTGTGTCAAAATTTAATTATTTAAGTCCTTCCTCCTTAGTAAGGTATTTTTCCAACTATTTCCCCATCAATACGCCTAATAATAATAATCAAGGCTCAAATAATACTATTTAATTTAATTTTATTTATTTATCATAATATATTTTATATTAAATTCACTCTAATATTTTTTATTAATTTAATTAAATGAATCTAGTGAAATCAGCGTATTATATAGCGTATTTAATAGCATATATCCTTCCATTTACTGTGTTATGCTTATATAAAAATGTTTGGTGACATTTTTGCTTATAATGAGTAAAAAATAGTTGCAAAAAGTTTTCATGATAGCTCGGAAGATAAAAAGTTTACTGTGTTCCTCTCTTCTCCAATTATGAATTATTTCTAAATACACCCTTCAGTGAAATATCATTAGAATTATTACTGGTATAAGTGATTTAATTTAAATAAATTTCATACTTTATATACAAATAAAATAAAATAACTTTCAATGTAATTAAGTTACTTTTTTTATCATAAAAGTAATGTAACTTTATTTTTTATTACATTGAATAATTTTTAAGTAGTTTAATTTCTAATCTATTGATAATTTAATTAAATACCAAAAGAAAGTAATTCACCAACACTGTAAATTATAGTATCCAAAAATTAAATTTATATCTAAATTTAACAAAAAATAAATTTAGGTAAAATAACTTTAAAGAGTCAATCCCATTGCATTACATTTATATCAACTTTAAACTAAAAATAATTACATAAAATTTATATTCAAATATATACAGTAAAACCTGGAAATTTTTTAAAGATTTAAAAATTTAAAAATATTTAAATTTACTAACCATAAAATGTAACAACTGGTTGAATTTCCATCTGTTCATCAAAACTGGCTATTTTTGAAACAATATGTCTTACTGATTTATTAGCTCCACATGGTTTAGCAGAAGTCAAAAGTAGATTAGATGTATCATCATAAGTAGTACTACTCCATAGACCTTTTAAAGATAAAGCAGTTTCTTTATAAATAATAGCATTTGTATCTTGTTCAAATATAGATAACAGATCCATCCTAGATCTAAGAAATCCACCACAAATAAATTTTCTGTTGTTTGAAGGTGGTAATGGAACTAATGAAACACATGCTGGTGCTCTTTTGATGTCAGATTCTACTAATTTCATAAACCTACGATCTATGTAGAATAAAGAACCCATTTGGCTACCTGCTACTAATATATTACTATTATCTCCAGCCCAACAGCATGACCATAATGGCTCTGGTGCTATTAAAAAAATCATTATTTTATTATCATCATTAATATAATGTAGTAATATCTGAATAATTTTAAGTAAAAGTGTATCTACCTAATACTTATTTTTTAGATGACTTTTATTTAAATAAGAATGTAATATATTGTTTTAACTTAAAATTAGTTTATTTTAAAATTAAAAAATAATAATAATAATAATCATAATTTCTCTTATCAAAACCTTTTTTTTTTGCTGCTATGATGCAGCAAATAAGAGTTGCTTATTTTAAAATTAACTACATATTTTAAATTTTATTGTTTCTATTTTCTTTTTTTTTCTAAGTATAATAAATAAAAATTTACTTTTAAATTGACTATTAACAATTTTTTTTACATTGAAATCTGATAACACTAATTATATATTTGTACTATACTTTCATTATGTCACCAATATTTTATAAATATAATCTACTACTTTGATATTAATAAAGTTATCAATGATATTAAATAAATTATTATACTAAAAACCTAATATTATAAAAGCACATAATAATAAGCACAATCTGGGAGATCAGAGATTACTTAATCCCTTAAATCTGTCATAATCTTTCCTAAAAAAAAATTATGAAAATTACAATGTTAAATTATATAAAAAAAAAATTTAAGGAGAGAATAAATAAAGTTAAATCCTTCACACAATTTGTAAAATTTAATTTTATCAGATTTCTATATACTTGAAACCCTCTATACAATTTTTTAAATTCCAAAAGTACATGTAACTGCTATGTTTCATATATACAGGGTGTTCAGTAAGTCAGGAAATGGGTTTCTATTGTTCTCATTGTTTGTAACAATGAGAACAATAGATACCCGTTTCCTGACTTACTGAATACCCTGTATATCTTTTTAATTAATGATAATAATACACATATTTAATATTTATAACAAAAACATCTCTTGTAAATAATTTTATTATACTTTTGTTTTCTTTCCTGTTACTTCTTTTGTTGTAAATGTTTATATTTGTAATACTTACTGTTGTATCTCATATTAATTTTTGTGCCATATTTTTAAATAAAGGCTATATATAAAAAAAAACAAAAACATGAAATTACATACTTTCAACGGATGCAATAACTCCATTGGAATTGAAATCAGTCAACTTTACACATTTATCTAAACTGGCAGATGCTATTAAATTGTTATCAACAGGATGAAATGCCATATCGCGTATAGTTTTTTTATGGGCATAAACACATTCTTTAGATAGCTCAAATATGGATGCATTAACTTTTCTAATTCCATGAGCATTATTAAACAAAGGTGTTTCACATTGTTGAGTAACTGCCTAAAAATTTACCATTAAAATTTTAATTATTTACTAAGATATTACATGTTAATAATTAATTCTACATTTATTGCCAAGTGTATCCACAAAAAGAACTTTAAGAAAGGCTACATTAGTGTCCTTATAAAACTAATAATAAGTATGTTATTTATATACAAAAATTTAAATAAAATTAATATAAAGAAATAAAACATCATCTTCCTATCCTTTAAAAAATGTATTTGGTCAGTCCTGTACTGTGTTAAAAGTAATTACCAATAACATGCTTTTTTTATCAAATGCTAAGACCCTACAACCTCCAGCATCTTTACACATGATAATTTTCTTAAGGCATTGTCTTATAGATGTTACTCCACTAGATGAATATCCTTGACCAGAATGACCAGACTTTTCAACAGTTTCTCTAAGTTTTTGCAAATCATTACTCAAACTTTCACTCCTAATCTTCCATTTCTCAACTTCTTGTTTCATTAAATTTTTTTCACGAATTTCCTAAAAAAAAGAAATGTATATATTTGATAGTAATGTTAATTAATGTACAAAACATTTTATTGGTTATATATTACCAATGTTAAATTTTTTTTTTTTATTATTTTATGGATCATGAAATTATTTTTGATACTGAATATTTAGTCACTAGGTAATACTATTACATTCTCAATCTTATAATTATACAAATAAAATAATCTATTTTCACTAAATGATTTAAAATAAACAACTTCACATTTCATTATTACTTTTTACAATAATTTATTACAAAATAGGGATATTTTAACAACTAATCTGAAGTAAGGAAAGTTGTTAAATTTTTATTTAAAGTATACTGTTTAATTTATTTTTATTTTTTGACCCTAAAAATATGAATATTTATCAAAAAATTATTGTTTTATAACTTAGAACTAATAAAAAATTTAGATAACTATTTACAAAAAAAAAGGGACAAATTACAAAAAATAACTCAGTTTTCCCTCTGTTAATACAAAAATGTTCAATTAAAAAAACTTTTCATTTGAAATATTTTGTCATAGTTAAATTTTTAGGCATGAGCTTTTTTCTAAAGTCAATTCTAATAGAGGAAGTCATACAGATAAATAAAAACCACGGTTAATTAAGAATTTATATTTTTATAATGTAAATTAATTTTTCAAATAAATTTTTAATAACACATTTAAACTTTAATGCTATTAAAATAGAAAAAAACAGTTCAAAGTATAGCCAGAGCAAAAGGAAGTAAGATTGGATGGAGTACGAATGTTAGTGTAAAGAAGCCAAGTGTGCAGTAAGGCGATGTTTTAGAGTTGTAATGAGTTGTATGATAGGCTAGGAACAAAGAAAGGTGAAAATAGGTCTATAGATTTGAAAAAGAGAAAAACAGTCTACAGATTATTGTAGTAAAAGGTGATGATAATAGTATGCTAACAAACGATGATGATGTGAAAAAAGGGGGTAAGGAGTATTTTGAAAAATTACTGAATGAGGAGTATCCAAAAGAGATATTAAAGTATATCTCATAGAACAAAAAACTGGTAGATTTAATTAGTGAGAAAGAGGTAGGAGAGGCTGTGGCATCAATAAAAATAAAATAAATTAGTAGGACTAAATGAAGTATCAGTATTAGACAGTGTTGGCAAAAGGTGATTGAAGGATCTTTTTAATAAAATTCTATTAGAAGGGAAAATACCAAAAGAATAGAAGAATAGTATTGTGGTGCACATATTTAAAGGCATAGGAGACATAAAGGAGTGTGGAAATTATAGAGGAATAAACCTTATGATTCATAGTATGAAAATTTGGGAAAACATAATAGACAAAAGAATAGGAGGAGAAATAGTAATAAAGATCCAGTTTGATTTTTTGTTTGGAAAGTCAGGGATTAAGCCAATTTTCTGTATGAGATAACTAATAGAAAAGTATAGGGGAAAAAAAGAAAAAGCTGTGTATGGTATTTATAGATATGGAAAACGTAAAATAGAGTACCAAGAGAGGTTTTAAAGTGGACATTAATAAGAAAAGGAGTCCCAAATAGAGACAATAATATAATAGAGGATATGTATGATAGCACTTGTACCAGGGTAAAAGGTGTGGGCAGAGTAACAGAAGATATTAGGGTAAGAGTTCAGCTTACCAAGATAAAGCTTTAAGCCTTTACTTATTTTCTATAGTGATGAAAAAAATTACAATAGAAATACAAGGAAAGGTATTATAATACATGTTGTTCACTGATGACACAATGTTAATAGGAATCAGTAAAGAGGAAATTAAACAAATTTAGAAGTGTAGAAATCAGCTCTTAAAGGAAAAAGATTAAAAATAAGTAGGCGTAAGACAGAATATATAGAGTAAGAGTTTAATGAAGGAAAAAACGAGGTAGGTTAAAAGACGAGATCAATGACAACAAACGAGGCTTTGATAGGAAAGTTTTAAGTATATAGGATCAGTTGTGCAAAAGAATGGTCGTATTGACCAGTATGTAAGATATAGGATTAAGTGTGTGTGGATGAAATGGAGAGATGCATCTGGTGTGTTATGCAATAAGAGAATTCCAATGTAGCTGAAAGATAAGTTCTATAAAACTGTAGTGAGACCAGCTATGATGTATAGTTCGGAGTGTTGTGTGGTTGACAAGAAAGTAGAGCAGAGATTAAGTGTAGCAAAGATGAGAATGCTTAGGTGGATGAGTGGAGTGACTAAGAAGATAGGGCAAGGAACAAACATATAGAGGGAGTATAGGTGTAGCGTCAATTGTACATAAGATGAGAAAAAATAGACTTAGATGGTTTAATCATGTTATGAGGAAAGAGGAATCGGAAGCTGTAAAAATAGTTGTAGAAATGAATATTGAAGGAAAAAGAGGTAGAAGAAGACCAAATTATAGATATGAGGATGGCTGATGTGAGCATATGATGTAGGAGATAGCGTTAAGTGGAAGTTTATTATAAATGTGACTGACCCCAAGTAGTTGGGTTTAAGACGAGGAAAATGAGGACGAAAAGAAGATTATTATTTTTCAAATAAAAGTTAAGTGGTTTTATACATTTTGATAAATTTTTACCACGCTATTTAAATTAAGTAATTTGATTTTGATAAATACCTATGTATCTATATTTCAACTTTCATTAATTATTATTTTAATTATCAAAATCATTCTGTTATTTGAATAATTGAATCATCTGATTATTTGGAATAATCGAAACAAATAATGATTTTAAATAATTTAATAGTTTAATTATTAAATTCGATTATTCCCATCATTACATAAAAACATTTACTTTTTCGAGTTTAATTTCAAGAGCAGTTAATTCAGATGTATCAATAGCTACAAGCTTCTTAGCATATAGAATTCTGATGTCTTTAAGAGAGGCTTTTGTATTACAAGTTGGACATCTTCTAGCATCATTGTTGCAACCTGTCTAAAAAGAATAATTATAAGTATTTTATTAATATAATAATATATATATATATATATTAATAAAACAATTAAAAACATGTAAATTTTAATAATAAAAAAATGCTCAAATATAATAACAAAAATAAATAAATACTTTTATCCATCGTTGCAAGCAATTTTCTCCAAAAATATGTCCACATTTTAAACAGGCAGGTTTATGACCTCCTGTATTAGTTAATCCTTCTAAACATATAGGACAAGAAAATGCATCTTCTTCTCCCATGTTAAAATTACTTGAAACTAATAAAAAGAAATATTTAAATATAAGCATTAAAAATCTAATTTAATATTTATACAAATAAAATAAATATATTTTTTTTTAGGAAACACTAAAAAATGTTTTGGTAATACAAGTAATTTTAAAGGTATAATAAATTAATATCTGATTGTAATAAAAACAGTTTTTTTTAACAAAAAAGAGTTACATTCTCAATTAGAATTTTAAAAAATGTTGGTATAATACATTTTTTATTATATTATAACAACACTTAAAAAAAAAAAAAGCTACTGAGTTTATAATCATAAAACAAAAAACAATAATAAAACCACATAAAAAGACAAACTAAAACATAAATGTGAATATTATATAAAAACCAATCATAAACTATTATGTACTAATTTAAAATATATACCATTATAAAATTAAGATTGACTTAATATAATATCGGTATAACTTATGTGCTAGTGACCAACTTTTATTCACTCTCATTGTTAACCTAATCTAATTATTTAAATATCTATTTTGTTGTGATATATACTTTATATAAATGTAATCATGATCAATGGCTGCAGCCTTTATTTTAATAAAAAAAAAAAAAAAAATTAAGAATAAAAATAATTATTACTTATAAAAAAATTTTATTTCTACTAAGAAGTAATAAATAGAATGAGTCCATTGTTCATTTCTTAAGATCCTTACTTTATAAAAATTATATTAAAATATACTCTTCATCTTTATTTTTCTAAAAAAATATCATTTTAATTATTATTATTTGGTTTATTGGTTGAATACTACCTTAAATTATAGTTATTAAAAATAGTTAATACACTTGTTATGATGATTTTCAGAAATTATAATATATTATTATAGCTAGTTTTTTATTTATTTTATATAATTTTATCAATATAACTAAATAATTTCATTAGATCATTTTTGACATAAATTTATATTTACAAATTTTTGATCACTATCTAAATAAACAATTATTTTATATAACTTTTTAAATTTATAGCTTAATAAAAAATATTTAATTTCAAATTTTTTTTTTATAGATAAATTTTTGATAATGAATATAATCATGTTCAACTCATTTAAACCAATTGATTAAAATAGTTAGGACCTGTTACTTAGGATTTTTTAAATTAACTTTCGGGGAGAAATATTTTTGATTAGTTAACAATAAATAAAATTTACAAAAAATTTTAAGACTTGAACTTTGACACAGAATTTTGTAATGACAACACTACAAATTTATTTCACTTGAATTATATACTTAAAAACAACATAATATTTTACCATTATCAGCATTCTCTTCACTGTTTTCAACATTTTTTGATGAAGATATTGTCATAGGAACTATGACACTAGGATTTGTAATTTGTTCCGTAGGAAGGGAATCTACATTTTGTTCTACAGATGATGATCCATTGGAAGATACTTGAGAATCCTAGAAATCCATAGCACTTTCATAAATGTTAAATTATCTATACAATTTATTAAATTATACAAATTTTAAAGTCAGAAAAATAAATTAATTCATCCAAAACACTTGATTTTATGAGACAAAAGATATATATATTTTTTTATTAAATATACGTCTCAATTACAAAATCATAAATAATTTATACCTTTTTGATATTAATCGGTAATTTAAATTATATTATATAGCTTAAAACATGTCTATTCCTAGTGTTTTATACTTAATATTTTATTAAAATCATAAAAAGAAATAGAAAAAAATAATTGGAGGGAATAATTAGAATAAATTTCATTTCTCAAAAATCCAATGGTATTTATAATTTTAATAAAATATAATAGGTAGGTTTTATTTGAATCTATGATATTTTAATAACACCTAGGATAAATTTAAGAAAAGCATATAGATTTTAGAATACTCATAATACATTTTGAAAAATTTCTATGTAATAATTCAGGGGTTTGCTGAAATATCCTAATGACTATAATTTAAAAAAAATTCAGAATAAATAAAAAACTCATTTGTTTTACATTTAAACACAGAAAAAAAAATTATTGGACCTATCTGTTTGTTGTACCTCTACATAGATACTTATTATTGTATATTTTACAAGAACATAAATTTTGTATGAAATTAGGAATTGTCAGGTTACTGCAGCAATCCTGTCATTTTTACATTTATAAAAATGAAAGATCTCAGCTAAGTTATTCCTTAGAGCTTTTTGATAATCAAATTATGATCAAATAACTTGTATTTTAAAATGATTTAAAACAAATTGAAGACTTTACAAAAACTTTAATGTATGTAATAATTTTTACAAAAACCTTTTTTAATTAAATGATAAATTTTAATTTCACTAAAATATTTTTGTACATATTTTACATTTCAGAGTACATAAAATATTTTAAAGATAAATTTAAAAATAGTATATAGCATATGTATTTAGCAAATCAATTTTGTCATTTTAATTTCCTGAAAAATTTGTATTTTTTTTTGCTGCATATATTAACTTTAACTTTTTTAATAGACATACGTTTATCTTTAAATAAATATTTTTAACTGAATAATCAAAAACTTACAGACGAATTTGAACTATTATCTAAATCTACAGGCAAAGAATGTATATTAGAATCCCTTGATGTACTATCATTGGTATTTCCTGAATAAATGTCACTTTCATCTAAAAAAATCGAAAACATAGATTAATAATGATAACTATTAATAAATGGCTATTAAAATGTTGTAAGTACAAAATAGAAGAATATGAAAACATCCATAACATCCTAAACGTTTAAATGACTATTTAATGGTGTAGATTCTTAAAATTATTAGCTTATAATTAAATTATAAGATTTATAATTTAAAATTATAAATCTTGTGCTTTTCTGATAGTTAAAATATATGAAAAAATTTTATCTTACAATATTAAATAATGCAATTTAGAAACATACAAAGAAACATTTAAGAATTCAAAAACACTTAAAATTTTAAAGAATAATGTGTACTTCAATTTTATATGGCTTTTTTTTTTAATTGGATTAATTTTAAACCAAAAATAAATTAACTGAAATATTAACTTATAGAGAAATATTTATTTATTATATAGATTATTTACTTATCATGAACCACTTAATTAATCAAAAAATAAAAATAATATGGAGATTTTTCTTTATTTCTTTAGCTACATGATTTTCTTAATTTATCAATTATAAAGTATTTTTTGTGTTAATACCTTATGCCATATAAAAGTGTCAATTTCAATTTTTATTTAAGTTGTTTTTAGAAGTTGCCGTGGCACATCTATATATATATATATATATATATATATAACAAATTTCAATTATTGCAACATAGGAAAATTTTAAATATACCTAAATGATATAAAAACTAAAAAATAAACCAAGTTTTAATTGGCTTACCACCTTCAGATTCAGAATTCATATACACTTCTTCATCATTCAGTACATCAGAATCAACTTCCATAGGATCATAATCGGAATCATAACTCAATTCAGGATCAGTATCACCGTAGTATTCGTTCATTTTAGTCTTAATAAAATTTATTTCGCACTCATTAAGTGTCTTAAAAACATATAGAACATTTTAATGACATACTATANTTATTTCGCACTCATTAAGTGTCTTAAAAACATATAGAACATTTTAATGACATACTATAATAAATAATACGTATAAAATAATTTATTTAAAGCAACAATTAATAAGAAAAATGACATTTTACTAAAATACATAGATGCTAAAAAATCTTTTGATAGTTCAGATTTATTCAGTAAAAAATAATTTTTCTTAAAAACTTAGTTTTAATTTATATGGATATTTGATAAAAATTACTCAAATTGTCATCGTTAATATTATAATATTTATACTTTGACAAATCTTAATGATCAATAAAATCACTGAAGACAAGTATTTAAAAAGGTGTAAATATGAAACACATGGCTGATGTTATCAGACAACAATTAAGATAACCAATGTTACCATGGCATTTTACCATCGTTATATACAAATAGAGATTCAACATTTTTTATAATAGTTGAAAATTGGGAAACTTTTTTTTTTTTTGGAAAAATAGAAGAAATTTAAAAAAAATATTATAGTAATGTCTATAAATTATCTCCCCTGTATAATGACAGTTATTTTACTTTTTCATTTTAATTTCCAGGAAAAGCCAAGAAGGTATATTAATTTTACTATGATGTCTTTTTTTTTTTTTTTTTTTGTATGTCTGTATGAACTTAGCTATCACTGTACCGATGTTTTTCAATAATATGTCAAAATATCATAAATTGTATCTAGTTGAAGACATTATCCTCAAAATTTGAAAAAAAATTGTATGTTCTCCGTAAATAAGGAAAATCTACAAAAAAAAAAAAGTTTTTCATACAATTATTTCGATGTTTTACTTTAATTTATTTGTTTTTTTTTACACTAATACGAATATTCAAAAATAAATTGTCAATCAAAAATAGTTAAAAAGTTGTAGCTCTTTAAAGTTTGTATAAAACCTTATTATCAGACCGCGCACTCTTGCAAAAACCTACTTAAAATCAAATATGTATTTCAATAATTTTTAGCTTCGATGCGATGCTGAGAAGGTATTGGTTTTACTATGATGTGGTTTTTTTTTTTGTGTCTATTACCACTTTTTTCAGCTCTCATCGAACTGATTTTTTTCAACGATACGTCAAAAGATCACAAATCGTATCTAGTCGAAGACATTACCCTCAAAAATTGAAAAAATTTCCCTCGTTCCCCATAAATGGGGGAAACCTCCAAAAAAATTACAAATTTAAATATCGCTAATTTTCGAAATTTTTTCAATTTTTTTACTTAAAACTGCCATAACTTTTTCGAAAATGAACAAATCAATATAATTTTTTTTTATTGATGCTTGAAGTCTTTACCTATCATTTGGTATATTTTTTTTATAAATCTGACCCTTTACATGCCTACAGGAGGGGATTTAAAATGACAACTTTTTCACAAAAAATTAACTTTTGAAAGTGTTCCGGAAAGTCTGACACTTTTATATATATCTTAAATTAAAGCTAATGTAATATACTTTATTATACAAAAAAAAAATTTCGGACTTTATTTTATCTTCACGATAAAAATTGCTACCGAATGCTATTTTTGTGTGAAAATTCTCGATTTTATATTTTACATCTTTTACTTTAAAATGCTAAACTTATTGAAAGTGTATGGATCAACACAATTTTTTTATGAGAAATAATATTTATATCCCTTTTTCATTTGACATACTTTATCTTCATCAGGATATTAATAAGGAAATAGCAGATCATGTAGCTTTTGGAACAATCCGCCAATTTTTTTAAATTAAACACTAAAGATTTGCATCAAAGCGTTTTTATGATAGTGATTTTAATCATTGTCAGATATCATTATACTTGATCCAACTATCCACGTCACTACTGTGCCGCGACCCCACTGTGCTGGTTTTTTTTAAATAACTTTATAGAGAATTGATGAATTATTGACCACCAAATTTCTTATAAATGTTTTAAATGTATCTTAATCCTCCATTTAACACAATTCCCCTATCATCTATACACATACCAGCAGTTCTCACATAACCCACAATTACATATAACCATCTAACTACTAACTATCTAACTATTCAATGGTAAGATAAAAGGCTATTTTATCCAATAGTCACTTAGTTACGTTTGTCGTAATATGCTCAATGCTTTGCATCTTACAATTATAAATGAAAAATGTATAATTTGTATTTTAAATAACTTGTAAACAAACAAATAATTTATCTGTCATAACAAATACGATGTTCATCACAATTTCTTATTATTTATATATATGTCAATTTATTAATTGTTAAATATGTTATCTCAATATAATTATCATGTAATGTATAATTAAATACAATAAACTAAAAATATCACTAAAAGCGCTGACAACAATATCCCTGGATTGGGGGTACTATCATCTTACTATAAAAAGCACTGAAATCCTTTCAGACTCAAAGGAGTGACAGCGAGCGAGAGAGTTCGTTTTCTCCGAATTGAAATAAGAAAAAAAAGTAACAATTATCAGTCACAGCCCTGTGTTGTTGTCGGCTGACTTTTACGCGTTTTATTTATATATGTAAAGAACTTGTTTTAATTATTTATCTTTTGAAGAAGTGCGAATTAAATACTTTTAAACATATAAAAACATATCGAGATATTTATCAAATCATTTTACAGCAATTTGCAAGAATAAAAGAAGTAAGTAATTTTATGTTATCCCAATTATTTGGAATTAATAAATTTGAGTAAAGGATGACAAAGCAATAGATCATTTATTAAATTAATATCTTAAAGTGTCAATTTTGACTGGTTGGTTAAAGAAGTTATACATAATCACGTTATATGGTATTCGTGAACTGGCTCTGCCGTTTCGTTGCCTTAAAGATGTTTTAAGAAACCTAGCGTGATTTCTACTGTATAAATTAGGCTCTGGTATTCGTGGACTGGCTCTGCCGTCTCGTTGCCGAGGTATTCGTGAACTGGCTTTGCCGTTTCGTTGCCTCTTAGTTAGGACATTAGAAACTAACCAGACAAAAGTTTATTACACCTCGAATAGAGGTACTACGTCTATTATTTTTATATCTACTTGTCTTTGTCGTTCTAAACCCTCGAACCATACGACCCCGATAGAACCACAACATCAGGTTCTCACTAAGCCCATCACCCATCGCTCATTTTCATTATTTATGTTTTATCAATATTGCTTATTATTTTTGAATTAATAACACGTTCTACCGTTTTGGATTAATAAAGTATATCAACCAATTTCATACTTTTCAGAAGATAAAATTCATTTTTCATTTAAGCTAAAAAAAAATGCCTTTTAATATAATGAATAAAAAACGCTATTTTTATATAATTTTTTAAAAAGTTATAGTAATTTTAAATTAAAACAGTTCTGAAAAAAAAAAATTGTGTGAATTTGTTCTCTAACTCTTTTAATATTTATTACGCCATTAAAGTGGACCTAATTTCAAAAAAAATCTACAGAATAAATATTTATACAACTATTTATTAAAAATTTTTAAACCTAACGATTTTTATTTAAATCTGTAAAGTTTGTTTAAATATTTAAATCTTTAATCAATCTTTAAATTGATACAAGTTAAAATTTGTTAGACATTCCAGAAATTCAAAAATTGAATTAAATGAAAAATTTTGATATATGTGGGTTGTCTTTTTCAAGCAAGAACAATGTTTTCAACTAAATATTATTCGGGTTCTTTTGACGTATAATTGCATTTTTCAACTATCTTATAGTATTTTATCGTCTTTTTAAAAAATATTAATTTCTACCGTAATCGTTTATAACTGTACAAATATTTTAAAATTGTACAATAAATTGTAAGCCTAATCTTACAGGCTCTCTAATTTAACATTATTTTAAAAATTGGACTCCTGATCGCTTTACATTAAATTAACCCTTTACTATTTAGTTCTTCAAAAAAAAACAGTTACCACAGAAAATACATATATTTGGTTTTTCCTCCTAATTGCTTACATTTGCTACTCGACACTTGGTCACCTTATTGATGAAAAGCTCTAACTGGGAATTTTTATATCTCATGTGTTGTTCGTCTGTCAACGTGTCGTTGTTTACCGCCGCAATTTTTCACATTCACATTTCACAGTAATCTCTTAGTTGTTTTTTTAAATATTTATAAAATAATTTCATTGTTACTTTTAATTGATTTTGTAAAAACGTGATATTATTAGTGCTCTATGATGGCCGATAAAGAAAAGGATGAAGTTGAGGCAACTATTGCTGATGAAGGAGTTGTTATGAAATACAAGGCGGCCGGAGAAATCGCTAACCGTAAGTGGTTGTATTATAAGCAACATTGATGTTAATATTGTTAGTTACAATTACAAATTTTCCGTTATGATGTTATTGTACTCTAACTTAACTTTCTCGAAACCCAAATTTTTGATTGTCTAAAAAAATAAGTTATAGTTTAATTATTAGCTGAATAAAATGATTATTTTAAGGTTATCTTATAACACGTATGGTTTTCTAATGAAAAAAACTTGTTTTTCGTTTGAAATTGCTTAGTCTATTTTATAAATAAGAAATAAATCACATTTAAGTCCACTGTTACTAGAAAAGCTAGAAATAATGAGCCTTGTGGACTACCTACAAGTCTTAAAGTGCTTAGAGATGTTTCTTTTTTTTTTTTTTAAATTTTTCTGATGTCCATTATTAATCATCAAGATTAAAAAAATTGTAGTCATAATAGACATTATTGTCTAGCTCTTTAAATTGAGGAAAGCATCCTAATTATAAGTTATTTGTTATACATTTACTAATACAAATTGTTATATATATTAAAAAAAATTTTTAAGTGTTTTCAAAAATGCTTATTTTTAAACTAGTGCAAGGCTATTTTACAAGCAATTTTTTTATTTATGGCTCTAAGATAAAAAATTAGATATAATTCAACGTTTTCTTGTGCTTTATAACTACTTATTTTGAAATTTCCTTTTTGAGAGAAATTTATATGGTAGAAACTAATTTACAAAGAGGACAATGAACAAATATATCTGATAATTTGTTATTGAATTAGGACAAAAAAGGCAAGCTCTTTTTGCTGCGATTAAGTGTAACATAAATTAATTTTTTGTTGTTCCTAGAAAACTTTTATAAGTAGAGTTGATATACAATTGAAGTAGACTCTTCTATTACAAAATAAAGTTTTTCTTTGAAAGTATTTCATTAAAATAAATTGTAATTTTATTAGAGTTCTTGCCTTTTGATTATGATACTTTTAGTTTTAGTACATTATGATTAGGTTGCTATTGTAAAAACAAAAATATCAGTATAATGAATAAAAGAAACAATTTTAGAGTACTTAAAAAAAATTGAAAACAAATGTGAATGAATAGAGTTGATGAACAAGGCTTCACCAAACAAGTTAATAAGTTTAAATATATGATAAAATTGTAATCTCTTGAAAAAATTTGATTATCAAAAAACTTTAACATTTTTATTAAGTTATTAAATTTCTTCAATAAATTCTTAAGTCATTGTTTTTTGTGAATATTAATTTAAACATTTTACTTACTAATTATACTTGTACTATTTAATTGTTTTACAGGTGTTCTTGTTGAAATAATTGAAAAATGTATAGAAGGAGCATCTGTGCGTGATGTATGTATATGGGGCGATAATTTAATTTTAGAAGAAACCAGTAAAGTTTTCAAAAAAGAAAAAGAAATGAAAAAAGGTAAATAACCATAATGATGACAAACTTAAGCATAACAATTATAACAACATGGTTAATAATAACATTCACCTTTCCATTTTTTTCAGGCATTGCTTTTCCTGTCTGTATCTCTGCTAATAGCTGTATATGTCATTTTTCTCCTATCAGGAGTGAGCCAGATCATATTATAATCAAAAATGATGTTCTGAAAATGTACAATATATTGGTTACTTTTTAATATTTTTAAATATTGTATTCTCTTTTTTTTTAGAGATTTAGGAGTCCATTTAGATGGTTTTATTTCCATGATTGCTCATACTATTGTTGTTGGTGCCAATTCAGAAAATAAAGTAACTGATAAAAGAGCAAATTGTTTCTTAGCTGCACATCATGCATCTCAAGCTGCATTACGATTAATGAGGCCTGGTAATGATGTAAGTTTCCAATACAATTAAATTAGATTAACAGTACAGAAATCTATGTACAATAAACAATTGAATAACCAATTTTAATAAAACTTTATATTATAGTTATACATATTGACTAATCTGAAACTTCTTATTTCCTTGTAATTTATAATAGTTTTTATAGAATTACTGTTAATATTTTGTCATTAACCTAACATGTGTTGTAATCTTTATTTATATTGTAGACATATCAAATAACAGAAATGGTTTTAAAAGTTTGCAAAGAGTTTGATTGCAAACCTGTTGAAGGTATGCTTAGTCATCAGCTTCAACAATTTAAATTAGATGGCCCTAAAACAATTATACAAAATCCAAGTGAATCACACCGTAAAGAACATGAAAAAGCAACTATTGAAGTAAATGAAGTTTATGCTTTGGATGTACTTGTAAGTACTGGAAGTGGTGTTGCCCGTGAAACGACTGCAAAAGTATCTGTCTTTAAAAAGACTGATGAAGTTTATCCTTTAAAACTAAAAGCTTCAAGGTAAATTTTCCAAAATATAATAGATCTTATTATTTATTACACTCCTACTAATTTTAAATTTCTATAATATCATATTATGACCGTGTAGAGTTTTTATACATTTTCTTTTTAACTTATAATTTATTTAATTTTGTAGAATGTTTTACACTGAAGTAATTCAAAAAAATAGTATAATGCCATTTAATTTGAGAAACTTTGAAGATGAAAAGAAAGCTAAAATGGGTGTAATGGAATGTGTGAATCACAAACTAATAGAACCTTTTCAAGTGCTTTTTGAAAAGACTGGTAAAAAAATTTAAATGGCATGAATTCTTGTTATATATTTTTTATGTTTCTTCTTATATTTTTATATATTCAAGGTGAAACTGTGGTACAATATAAGTTTACTGTGCTGGTGACACCTACTGGACCCGCTAGAATTACAGGGTTGCCATTTGAAGAAGATGTTTATGTACCCACATTAGCTATTAAGGATCCTGAAGTTTTGGTAATGACATTATTACTTAAGTATAGTAATGTTATTTTTTTTTTTTTATGTTTATTTTATTGAGTTTTGTTACCCTCAATTTTTTTTTCTTTATATTTTAATACTTGATTTAACTTGAATATTTTAAAATTTAATAATCCATTTTTTTTATGTATAGACACTTTTGAAAACTTCTGTAAATCAAAGAGGAGTTTTACAACCAGTTAAAAAGAAGAAAAAGAAAGCACAGAAGAACTCCACAAGTGATATGGATGTTGATCAACTAACAAGGAGTGAAGAAAAAATGGAAGTGGATGCATCTGCTTGAAATTATATATTTTATTAAATAAGAAAAATGTACAAATATGTTTTAAGCGTCCAACTACATACTTATCTACTAATTTTAACTACAAAATTTTTTCAAGTCATTTTGAAATAAATTCGTCTTTAGTTGAAGGCAAACTGAATAATATTTAAGATTTTAGGAAATGACCGAATTTTTGTATTGAAATATTTCAAAATTAATTGTTATTATTTAAGTGACATGTTTTCTCTTAGTATTTCTTTATTCTATTATTTAATGATTTAAAATAGTTATTTATGTAAAAAAATTTTATTAATATGCTTACATAGTAGTATGCATAACTTTATTACAATAGACTTAATTTTTTACATGCATACTAATCATCAAATTAATTTTAGATACTTGTTTACTTTTTTCACTATTATAACAAACTCATTACAAATATCTATATGTTGATCAATTCACATTTTCTTTCTTTACGCAAAATAAAACATTAAAATCTCTACTTTAACTTTACTTTAATTTTCAAAAAAATTTTTTAACATTTTGTGAAAATTAAAGTGCATTTTCATTACTATTATTGTTTTGTTGTTAAATGTTATGAAATCATTATGTAAGTCGTTTAAAACATAGTACATATATTGCTTTTTATTACAATTAAATTTAAACTGTTTTTTTTTTTTAATTTAGTTCCTATTTCAACTCTGTGTAAATGGCAAATATTCCTAGTTATAGTAACACTTAATATTACAGTTAAATCAATGGACATAATAATATATATACTATAGTATATAAAAATTTAAAACATAGAAATGTGTTGTTACCGATGTTATAATTTGTAGGGGTTATACTCCTTAAAACAAAAAATTATTTCTATGGCATTATATAACTCTACAAACAAAATTGTGTAACTTTCAAAGTGGCACAAACAAAATTTTTAATTTCATATAATTCGTAGCCCTATTCATTACAAAAAATGTATTTAGAATGGTAATTAAAATAACAGTATGAGAATATTTATGTAATGATTCTATTTACTACTTTTAGATAAAAAAGTTAGTTAACATTTTTTATTATATTCATTCTATATTGTGACATGAATAAAATTATTAATTAAGCCAAAGGAAGAAACCAGAATATTTAGTCTTGAGTGCAATCTGAAAAACTTAAAATGCAAAAAAAAAAATTACACGGGAGTTCCATATAAGGATAATAAAAAAGATTTATAGAACCAAAAGTGTACACAAACAAATAAGAGAACACATATTTTAAAAGAATATTTCTTGTTAATATTTATACATATGACTATATCCTTATAAGAATAATCAAATAATTACAAAACCATTAGTGTAGCTTCTTACTATTTATGAAATGTTTGTTTTAAAATAAGTTATCCTCAATTTTTCATATTTCTTCTCAATTAGATAATGATCTAAAAATTATATTTCAATTAAAGATTTTTATAATTGTTTCTCATTACATCTTACAATCTAAATCAATTATTTTTTTGCATAACTTGTAGTATTTTATACTTCTACACATAACATATGAAAAAAGTCACTCAGTTATTTTTTAAGTTTGCAGATCAAATAATATAATAGAATGAAAAAAATATAATTTGTAATACATGTCTAAACAAAATTTAATTTTGGTAAATAAAAATTAAAAATAGTACAACTATTAGAACATATAAATAGTCCTATATTATTCACATTCTTATATACTGGCTAAAAATACAAACAGTATTTCAACAGTGACATACATATTATTCATTTTCTTTAGATTTATTAATCTGCACCTCAACTAATTGATAAGCTTTGTCAGCAGCACGAAGGCATTTATTAGGTATATCTATCACAAATTCACCAGCATTGTATACACTCTTATTCCAACAACAAGTAGTTGTAGACTTAAAATTTTCTACAGTAGGTAATGAACTCACCTAAAAAATATAAATGTTTCAAAATGTGAGTAGTTTAAATTATAAATTTAAGAATATTAAAATATATAGGATAGTTGGAAAAACATAAATTCATACATTTTGTTCCTTATATTATGTAAGTATTATAAAAATGATTACATATTTAGTTAATTTTTGTCTCTGTAAAAAATTTTGTACCAGTAAATTAAAAATAAAAATTACATGAGTAATTAAAAAAAGTAAAATACAGAATGATTGATTAACTATGTCTTACACAATACATTCCAAAATATTAAAACATTATTTCATTTAAAGCAGTTTGTCAATCACCCTGTAAAAAAATAAAAAATAAATATACTTGTTCAGGCAACTGTTCTTGAACTTTTTTTGTGTAAGGTGTTAATATTGCAATAATTAACTTAGCTATTTCTCGAGAGGTTTCAGGGTCTTTCCATAAACCTAATTCAGATGAACCATATAGAGTTGCCCCAAATAAAGCTCCTCTAACAGTGAAACTACAACAAAAAATTTGATTAATAAAATATTCAAGAAAATACTGTTGGACATGATTCAAAAAATAAAGATCAGAAAAAACATTTGATAAATTATCTACTTTCCACAGCTTTTTTTGTTAAATACTTACTTTAAAAACTTCGAAAATTTACTCATGTTAATTAGATTTTAAATAGTTTATAATTGATTAAATTACACGCGTAAAAATAAAAACTGTTATGCTTAATATCTACATTACAACAAAAATACAACACGAAAATATTAATTTTTAACTTTTATTATCTAAATAATTTTTATCATATGTAGTTCTTATCGTACTTGTAGAAATTTTGAAATGATAATAAATTAAATACTTATATTTTTAAATTTCAGGTGTCGTATTCTACTTTAATTATGTTAATTTTATAGTAAAACAAAATAAATTTACTACAACTAATTGAATATAAGCTATTTAATTTAGATTTTCATTTGTTATTTTATATAATATATTAATACTTTTACTTAATTAATTATCATTATATGATATTTGTTGCAAAAAGTAATTATTATAAACCTTTAAAATTTAGTTATTTTATTAAATAAGATTATAGAATTCGAACATTTTTAATATGGATAATATTGATTCTGCAAAAAAAAAATTTTTTCAATCTTGTGCTACGGGTAATTTGGAAATAATAAAGGCAGAAATTTTTCATAGTGTTACACCCTACACTCAAGATAAAGTAATAAGTAATAAATTAATTTTTCTTAATTTAACTTTTACTTAAAATTTCAGTTTGGGAATAATTGTGTTCATATAGCCTGTCTCCATAATCAATTTGATGTTTTAAATTATTTACTTAAAACCATCAAAATATATCATAATGACATTAAAAATAAGTTTGGTCGTACAGCGTTAAATATTGCTGCTTCTCAAGGTGCTTGTGAATGTATTAGTACTTTATTGAACAGATTAAACTGCGATTTAAATTCTTCAGATAATGTGTGTAAAATTAGTACATTTTTTTCAAAGTATATTCTTACATAAATTAATAATACTTGTTACAGAATTTCAATAACACTCCTTTGCATTGGTGTGTTGTAAGTAAATGTTTAAAAGGAGTAGAATTACTTTTAATAGCTGGTGCAGACTTTACATTAATAAATAAGCAAGGGAAAACTCCTTTACAATTGGCTGAAAACTCAACTTTGGATATTTTTCATTACATACATGAAGTATATTCAATTATGTACTGTATTTATAAAATAGTATTAACAAGAAGCATAAAAACTATACTTTACTTTTTTTATAGGAAAAATAATAATAATAAATTATGTTAACTTTTTTTTAAATTTTTGGTTATTAAAATAATTTAAATGACTCTATATAGCAATCGTAACTAATTAAAAAACTTTTTTTTTATAAATTAAAAAATTAATTACTTGATTTGTATAATTATCATAAAATAATTAAATTTATTAATATATTTTGTTAAGTAGTTTATTACCTTATTTAATTCATTAACATTTACTCTTTATGGGTAAATTATAAAAAACTCATAGCTAAAAAAAATATGTATATATTAAGAAACATAGGTATTTGTTGGAAGCAAAAAAAGCTAGTTACACCTTCCTTGGCTTTATTGTCATATCACCTTTCATAATAATTTTATACTATAAAATAACAATTTTTCAAATCCTGATTATTGAAATCAAGTATGAGAATTAATGCACTTAGATATTTATAAGAAGTAAAATTTAAAATTGCAATTAAATAAGTTTAAATAAATTGTAACATTAACTTTTAATTAAAATTTAATACAATTCACTTAAAATGTCTTCAATATATTCCTATATAGAATAAAACATATCACATTACATAGGGGTTATACAAACATATATAGCTAGATTATAAATCACAAGGCTGGTAAAGATACACAGTAGCTGGTAATTTGTAAGATACAGGGAAATGGTCAAGGTCGTTCCCTATTTATGCTTGGCAAATTGAATAATGAAAACTAATATTAAAAAAAATATTCTAACATCTTTGATAAAATTTTACAAGTGCTTTTGTACAAAATTACTTGTCAATATAAACTGATTCTTTAATTGTAATTTAATTATAATTGACTTTATAGTTTATAAAAAAGAAGAAAAAACCAAATATTTCAATTCTTCATAATATTGGCAAATGTACAAACATAAGTGACAGTACTTCATCAATAAAATCTAAAAGAAAAAGTTCAAAAACTGGTATAAAATAAATATTTTTATTTAATTTGAAAAAAAATTAACAAACCTTTCTTATAGATGCATTTTATGAATTGCCTACATTGAATAAAAAAATATTTAAGAAAAATGTTACTGAATCCAAAATTCACAAAATATTAGCCAATTCAAATGTAAAGAAATCATCTAATCCATTTTTTTTAAACATGGAAAATTTAAAAGGTAATGTTTATTAAATAATTATTTTTCAATAGTATTTTTTATTTAAAAAAAAATTGTGTTGATTTTGTAGATAATGATCATTTAGTTTTAAATCTTTTAGAGAAATCTATTGAACCAATAGATGAAACTTCTTTTGTATCATCTATATTAAATAGTGGAAAAGTTATTCAGCTTACAGGTAAAACATAAATATTATTTTTTCGTATATTTGAGTGTTAAAATTAATAAGTAGAACTATTTATATATGGGAATTTAAAAGTAATCTATTGTGAAAGCAGCTGAAGTTATATTAAAAAAAAAGTGAAAAAAATGACAAAATTTACCAATTTTTAAATTTGTAATTTTTTTAGAGATTTCCCCCATTCCCGGGGAACGAGGGAAAATTTTTAAAATTTTTAAGGGTAATGTTATCAACTAGATATGATTTGTGATCTTTTGACGTATTGTTGAAAGAAATCGGTTCAGTGAGAGCTGAGAAAAAGTGGCAACAGACATAAAAAAAAACACACATCATTGTAAAATTAATGCCTTCTCAGCTTTGCATCGAAGCTAAAACTTTTCTAATAATAATAATAATAATTTTTTTTTTCTAACACTATATATTTAATATAATTATATTTAAATATTGTCCAAATACTTTTAAAAATGGATAGAATTTTGTTTTCTTAATAAATTAGTGTCTAACATTGGCACACCATGGGAAGTTTTGAATTCCCAGTTATTTTAAGTTACACTACATTTTAAAAAGTATTATTTTGTCATGATATGTAATAGTTCATTTTATTTTCTGTTACTTAATTATTAATACTATTGATTTTTTTTTGTAAAATGAATTTATTACAATAGATATTATTTTAAATATTTTTAATATTGTTAAATTTACGACTACTATGCAATACAGTAATGGAATGAATAACCATAGAATAAATAATTTTAGCACCCTCAAATTTGACGGAATGCACACCAATGCAGTAATAAATTCTTATAATTTAATCTATTATTTTAATAAAATATAGTTACATGTAAAGTATGTGAAAATTAAGTATTAGTGTTGTTTATCATATTTAATTATGTGGAATACTTAAAATTGTGACTTAAAAAAAAATTATTTTAAATTAATGATTTAAAATTTGAATTATATTGACAAACTAAAACTGGTACTTAAATATTTATATATAATTTAAAATTGAGAAAAATAAATTTGTAAATGTAATTAAATGTTATTTACATTATTTTTTTTTTATTCTAGAAGCTGGTATTCTTGCTTTGGAATATACAAAAAATAATGTCAACATACCAATCCCAGAACAACTAGTTAAATCATTTCTTGATTCATCAACGCAAGTGAGTAAAGATAACAAGCATCTTTTATTGAAAAATTCAAAAGAAGATAATACAAATGATTCTAAAGAAAAAGGCATAAGATGCTTAATTGATGTCAAATTAGACAGTGATAAAGTTAAAAACAGCAAAACATTTTATGAAAAATCTGATGAAAATAATGTTACAAATTGTTTATCTAATAGTATGAACTACTTAACATCTACTTTAAAAAATAAAACTGATGAATTTTGTCCAAGTGAAAGTAATCAGCTAATGTGTATTAATCAAAATGTAAAGACTCATTGTAAATGGGTTGAAGAATTTATATCATTGTTAGGTAAAAATACTTCTGAAATTTAAGGACAAAATATTGCAAAAGCTATGCTAAGAAATTAAAGCAATTATAAAAAAAAGATTATGTCTTAGATCTTTATAAAAGAGTTGATAAAAAAATGTTAAACAAAGTTAAATGAATTCTTGTTTAAGTGAAAGATATATTTGCTATATAAGCAATATATTGTTTAAATTAATAATTAATGGTTATAGTCTATGGGCTATAATACAGCACAATGAAAAAACGCTTGCTAAGTCAGGTTGGAATGTAGACATCCTTGATTTTGAAAAAATTTATTGGGTTAAATTATTTTGAATAATTATAATATTAGATATAAAAAAGATTTACAATATTATTCATTCATAATAAATGTATGATTTATAAATTACCAAATAGATATTAACTTATTATTATTGTTAGTATAATTGTATTGAATTATCCATATTAAAATTATAACTTATTTTTCATTTGTTGTGAATTTTCAACCATAGAAATGTGTGTTAAACATACTGCCGCAGATTTCTGAATCCATATTTAGTAATATATTTACATAGTCTGTGGATAATTAATCTAAACTTTTCTAACACCATATGCTATGTAGCATAATATGAACCTTACCATATAATAAGAATTTTCAGGAAAATAAACAAAGTACAAAAATAATTTTATTTTTATAAACTTGATTGTGAAGTCACTGGATTCATCATTAAATAATATTATTTATTTGTATTTTAATTATTATTTTTAGTTCATTTAATGTTTAAATGAAAATTAGGAATCAAAAATTCTGTTAACAATATAACTTACTGCATTAACAAATTTACCAAAATAATATTTGGGACGACTTGATTAAAAAAACAAATAAAAGAGAGGTCAAATATATCATCTACCAATGAGTTCTTGGTGATTTTACAATGTTATTACTTAGTAGCTATATAATAGAAAATATGATTGAGTAACAACAAATTTAAAAAAAGTATTTTACATCTAGTTTTTACTGACATAGTTTATTATTTAAAGGGTATTAAGGTGAGGTGGGCTACATGTTAACAAATAGAGTAATTATAAACTCATTTTTTCTTTAAGGATATTTAGCAGTTTTGATTTTATATTTTATATGTTAAAAATTCTGATCCTTATATGTGTTGCTATTATATTAAATGAAAGTTCAAAATAAAAATGTATGTATTTATCTAAAAAAATCCTTTTGCAAATAATTTTTTCAAATTTAATGATCAGTTGTTTTACATCCCTCTATTTCCTGAACTTAACATGCTATAAAGGGAGTGGCTCTCTTTCACATGTTACGGAGTTAAAGATGGTTTTTGGCTAGACCAATTATAGGACAGGTATTATGGCCGGTTTGCAATCAAGACCAGACATCACCAACGAGAAAATCACAAGAAAACTCTCATTGCACCCTGGGTATTAAACACGGAAAACACCTTACATTGAAACATACTTTTATACCCACTAGGCTAGGCCAATCCCTTATTTTTCAAATTTAATAATTTTTTTAATTCATATTTATTATATTAGAGGCCTAACATAAAGTGTATACTAAATTTTCTTTTTATAAAAAAATATTAACATACAGTTAATTGGAAACTTATATTTAATTGAAATTTATTATAAAATATTCAAATAATTATGTTTATTGTAATAAAATTATTATTATAGTTATCTAAGTTGATTTAATACATAAAACAACATTAAAATTACATTAAAAAGAAAACAAAGATTTCATGTATTTATAATTGAATAATTTATGAAGTGAAATGTATTTAAATATACTGAAAAGTTCTAACTTATTGAAATTAAAAAAATTGCATATTATTTATATTTTTAATGGTACTGTATCTCTTATTACTTCATAGTATTTGTGAAGAGAGCTAAAATGTACTTTATAGAAGAAAATAGTTAAATTAATAATTTTTAAAAAGTTTGAGTATTTTAAGTATGTATTTATTATCCTATAAATTAATATTTCTATAGCAAAATATTTGATAAAAGAAAAAGTATATGTGTGTATAACAAATATGGAAATTTGGTTTTTATGATGTGTGTCAACTTAAAACTTTGTGGTAAATAAAATATGAGTTCTGAAAATCTTTTCTACACTTCTACTAGCTATTTTGATTCCGACATGACCTGTCAAAGCAAAATCATCGCTCAACTCGACTCAAAAATTTTAGTTTAAATATTTTAATTAAATATCAACATATATTTTAATGGGCAAAATATAATAATGTTTTTGTTTGGAGGGGTATTGGAAAATATTCATATGTACATTGAACTCCCCCTAACAAAATCTTAATTACGCCACTGGGCTGAAGTACAGCTCTGTTAATATATTCATTCCCTTAAAAAATCCTATATCTGATTTATGTCAAATAAAGTTTAATTTTTGTACCATTTTTACGTATGTGGTACAAATAATATACTCAATATTTCTCAAATAAAAAGGGCTAATACTAAACAAAAATTTTGAAGACCTTTTTATAGAAGATTTTAAACAAAAATGTTTGTTATGCATAGTCAATAAGGGAGCTAGCCCTCTTAACTTCCCTGGATACTCCACTGTATAATTCCAAGTACGTCTCGGTAATTTTCAATAAATAAAAGATAATTCTCATGACACTTGCTGATGATTAAAAAAATAAGTGCACGTTCCATTACCGTTAATGGTCACTTCAGTTTCTTTAATAAGTTACAGATAGTTTCCGAACAAAATATATTTTTGATCAATTCCAGTATACATAGATGTCTCTTCTAAAAATTTGCTACATAGAGAAAGAATGCGTTTAGATGGATTTCCCTTCCACTATTTTGAAGAAAGGTGGGGTATTCTCTTTTAATGTTTCCCTAACGTATTCATCCCACTCATTCAGTATTTTAAACAATAGCAACCTACTTAATACAAAAACGACGTACCTACCAATCACACAAAGACTTAACTACCTCACAACTGTAAAGATTTTTTACTTTAGTGTTTCAGTTCAAACGAAAAACGCCGAACTATATGAGAAAATCGTTTGAGTTGTGCGCATTGTAAGTCAATAGTTTAATTAAAAATACCTAGTGTGAAGTATTAATAAAAACGTTATAATTAAAAGTAAAAATATTGTGTGCCAAACTATGGAAACAACAGTTAATTTTTAAATAATAGTGGTATTCCAAGTTGTCAGTCGTTTCTACGTAAAATAGACGCGTTGCTAAGTTCTGGCAAGATAAGTAGTTGTTTTTATCATTGATAACGCTGTACGACTACAGCCGTTTGGAAGCGACTATAACATGAATCAGTTGTTGTGCATTGGTGATCCGAGTCAGAACGTTATGGCTGAAAGCAAGGGATCCCTAATTGCCAAGTCCGTATCTAAACATGCCGGAAGGGCTAAAGAAAAAGTAAGATTTGTTTAAAGTATACATTTTTCTATTATGTATTAAAGCAATTTTATTATTAATTATATGTTAAGAGTTTTAACTTTCTTATCAAAATTAAGATTCTAAATTGTTTCTGTGTAGGTGGTTATATAGCTTTTTATTTAGATTTATTCATTTGTAGAATTCACTTATTGTCTTTAACAAATTATTTCGATGAATTGTTTGTTTGAGGTATTTGTTATGCTTTTTTTGACAGTGATAAATATGAATTGGTACAAAATTATATTCTCTAACTGGTAATTTAGTAAACTCGAGTGATGTAGTAGCTGAAGAATTGTTAAAATTTTTAAGTAACATTTCTAGTAGGAGATCAATAGTTTAACTTTTATTGAAATAATTTTATATATCCTCGAAAATCATTTAATTTTTCTAAATTAATTTATTAATTTTTTTAAATTATTTCTTATCTTTATTAGTAGGTATTAAATATCAATGATAACATTCATTGATTTTATTTTAATGAAAAAATTATATAAATTTTTGGTTTTGTTGATTTTTTATTTCTTTTCTGCACCACCTTATTCAATCGATAAAAATAATTTCGTGGATATATTTATATAGTTTTTATTAAGTTCAGTGAAATAATCAGAGTATACTGTATTTTTAATTTTAGATAAGTACATTTTTTTTTTGTATGCGTTAATTAGAACAATAGTAGTCTTAATCTTGTCAAATTTCGATTTCTTTAGTAGACAGACAGATTTCCATCCATTTAAAAGCCGATTTGGCATTTTATAGTGACTGATGCGACAACATCCTATGAGATGGAAAACGGTTAGTCGAGGATAGAGACAAATTCTTTGGGTACAGGTCAAATGACCATTCCACTCTTATGTCTAAAAAATTGGCTACTAGCCCACGATTTATTTCTGAACCGTGTGTAGCTGATGTACTGCAGAAGATGGGCAAATATCACTATATTGTCACCTATAATCTTCCTATCTTAAAAATATGTAATTGCTTTTTCACGTTATTAACAATTAAAAAATAGGTAGGAGCATAAGTTAGTATTCTACGGTTAGTATTGAATCATCTACGGTAGGAAATATTAATGTTTTAAAGTTTATTTACCCAATCTAAATAATAAAATTACGCCTCATTAAAACGGAATTTGTTTATTGTGGTAATGTGTTTACTGGTAGACTAATGTACAAGACCGTTTCCAGCGTGACAGAAACATGTAAACAATATGTTAACAAAGATTTAATATATACATCAAATTCCACATATTGTAATAACTTTATCTAAATTTATTAGCAGTTCATTTTTCAATTAATGCAGTTGTATCTTTAACTTAACAAAGAGAAAGATTCATTTGATATTTATTTTCGCATTTGCTTTTAGGGTTTTATATACCAATTCGAAATGTTAAAGAAAACAAAATAAGAATGTTTGTGACTTGAGGGTTATAATTGCTTTCAAAGATGGGAAAGTTAATGGAAATAATTAATTTACGTTAAATGAATTAGAAACAATTTATATAGGTTAACAGTTAAAAGTTAAAAAATTATAAATTTAACTAATTAAGGTTAAGTAAAATTTTTTTTTTTTGACTCAGCACAGTTTAAAAAAATTGTATTTAATCCTTTGTAGTTTTAAATAATTTTTTCGTAAAAATTGCTAAAAATCGAGTTTTTATTGAATGGTGATGCTAAGGAAGCTGAGAATCGTTTTTAAAACAGAATATGGAGAAAAATTTTAATGATAACACAATTTTTTTTATTTGTTTCTAGTCTAACATCATATTGTACATTTTGGTGTTTGTTCTACTGTTCTATCTTAAAAATTAGAGCTGTTATTAAACAAATAATAATCAGTTAAAGAATCACATAAGGAAGTATGTTTTCTAATTTATAATGAACAACACAAGTACAATTACAGAGGCTTAGTGTCCAAGTCTAAAAAACCTAGTTTTTACAAAAAAATAAAATAAATTTTTGACTACTAAAGACATTTATTATCAAATTTTTAAAACTAATGTTACAATAATATATATAATGTGTTATTAGTACTAGTCCAAAATGACAATCATCATGATACTCATGAATAAAATTACATATTTTTTGTACGCAAATTAATATTAAGGCAAAAATTTAAACAGGAACGAGGTTAAAAGAAACAACGTAGTGTTTTTCGTTTAAAACCGGTAAAAAAAGTACTATATTATGAATATGTTTCTTGTTGGTAGTTAACTATAATTAAAATACATCGTTAGCTTATTCAACTGATTAATATTTATTATATTTCAGTTTAAAATAAATTCAGCTTCAAAAACTATACGCGATCATCTTTTCTTCAATGATAATATTTGTAGTGCCAATTTATATTTTGTTTGCCTAAAATTAAATAAGATAACTTTATAGAACTTTGGAAATAAATTATTAAATTTCTTCACCAAACCGTAGTTTTGTTGTAATTTTTTTTGTTAAATTTAATGTTATAATAACATAATAATAAATAATAAATAGCTATAATGTTGTGTTGTTGAGAAATTTTACGAGAAATCTTAGAATATTTTAACGTTGATTGGTTTAATTGAATTTCGTAGTATTTATTATTGCTTTGACCTGTAAAATAAAAATAATTAGCTAATACAGAAAAAAAGTGTCACAATGATAAGACGTGCTTTATAAAAAATATTAAATTATATTTGATAACAACGTTATGATAAACGTTGTATGTCTCTATTGTTTTATTTGTCTTTTGTATATTACGCGTTTGTTTTAATTGTTGTGATGGGTTTGGATAGATATTTACAAAATGTATTATTAGCTCATTAGTACTTTGTGCCTTGTTATTGTATATTTATTGTCATCTAATGCTTGTTTATTATATATATTTGTAGTGATTATTCATTCTATTTGACTTACTCTCTGAATAGTAATATTTTTATAATGAAGACAGTAGTTTAAAAACATAAGCAATACTAAGTTTTATCATATATTGTATGATATATATATATATATATGATATGTATAAACAAATAAATCGGTAGGAAGTCTATACGTCAGGTAATTAAAGTTTTAGGTATTTCATTACCATCATCTTCTTTTCTATGTATTCGTATAGGTCAGGTCTGATATAACCTATTCCATTTTAAACTTTTCAATAGAGAATATTTTCATCCCAAAAATAACTAAATATCATATATATATATATATCGTATTTAGGGAAGATTATACTTAATTGATAAATGTTTTTCTTTTTTTTAATGTAACAATAAGCATAGTATTGCTTAAAAGTTTTCTTGTTTTTATATTGTGTCAACATTATTTAAAATGCATAAATCTGCTTTTAATTTACCACTCAATACATGATGTATTTATGTGTATTTGAAGATATATTTTGATCGCGGGAGAGAAATTTTAGACAGGTTTACTTTTAGTTAGCTTGGTTTGCTTGTGTTCGTATAAGGCATTCACCGCTGCATCGTCCGAGAAAATTGTTGCTATTGCCTCCGCAAGTGGGTTATCCTCTCACGACGAAGACGAAACCTCTATAATAGTATACTTAAAAGTATGTGTAATACTACAAGATATCTACTTGAGATACCGAGGAATGACTTACAGTTAAACGGAAAAAGTGAAATTTGGTCGAGAGACTGTAAAAAGAATCATACTGTTTATAATCTCGCAGCTCTTTTTAATAAAGTTTTTAGTTACTCTTCTCTTCAAAATTAATATCATTATTTTTTTATTAAAAATGTTGATACCAAAATGATATTTTAGTAGTGTAACAACTAACTAAATTTTCTATTTATAATGATATAGATCTCTTAGTTTGAGTGATAGTTTAGTCTAATACTCAAATTTCAAATGCATTTAGAATTTATTCGTTGGCAATAGTGACCTCCTGAAGCATCAATGTACTGCGCATCGTGTGGCATCCACATATTTCTGAAGGTGACCATATGCATAAATCAGGGGTTCGTAATTTACGTCTACATATGGCTTAGTTTGTCGTTGATCTGAATTTTATAAAGGTATCTATTCAGGATTAAGTTGATTTGCATATTTATGGTTTTAGTTTCTTTATGAATTAGCAAATTATTTAGTCAAATAATGTTGTGATAATGTGTAGCAAAAAAAAATACAGTTCTTTTTTGTTGCACAAAGTTACAGTTTGGTTGTACTATTGGCGTTCTAAGGATTTATAATTGTTTTGTATTGATGAAACTATTGACTCCATGTGACATTTGTAGTACAAGGTCATTATACCGTTTCTTCTAAATCTCCGATAGTGATGCGTATGTTGCCGTTTCAGTATTATAATTTTAAAAAATATTCGAACTGCAGAGAACGTAATAATATATGCATTACTCGAAGAACCTGTTAGAATCCTTATGATTCTTGAGCGCGCTGTTTTTCTTAAATTATACATGCCGAAAGAGGTACACTCTTAATGTTTGTAATATGCCCAAACTAAAAACATTATTAGTGTGGGTATGTCAATTTTTCGGTAATTATTGAAAAAAAAAAACATTGATAACATATGTGACCGGGTTTGATAGGACAATTGAAATTGGGATGTACAAAATAATTTTGTGTTGATCACGTATAGAATTCGTGTCAGTGGGTGAAAGTTCATATGGTCATTGACCTAACCTAATGGTAACAACTGGCAAAGACTAAGTGTATATAAGTTAAAAAAATATTATTCAATCAGCTTTTGATATTTTTGAATAATGAATATAGTCGTAATTTGAACAAAATGTTTCGAGGACTAACTTAATTATCCCCTCCTTAAAAATATTTTTATATAAATTGGCACGTAATTTTCATAATTATTTTAGAGGGAGAACTGCGACAACAATAGGAGGGGAGCTAAATCTTTCTAGACCCCTCCGGATTGCTGCGCCTATTATAAATTTAATATATGTTGTTAATATGCTATGAATTACTTTTTGTTATTTTATTCTACATGGAAGTATAAATACTGGTTATTCTCCTTAAGCAAATAAT